TCGACTAACCTTACGCTCACAATCTTCGGAGGACAATCCAACATCTCGCCCGTGTGCTTCAGCCAAACGATTACCCTGCACTAAATTTCCAACCATCACAGAGGCTGGTCCTACACCCGTGTCTGTAATACCACAGCCAGATGATGAGCTTAGTTTTACAGTAGTTTGCACACCTTTTTGTTTGTTTGGGGAATGGTTAGTAGTTTGTTTGTTGATTTTTTACAAGGATCGATTATTAAAAACATTAATTAAGGCAAATACAGAGTTATGTTGTCATTTTGGTGTTTTGTTGCAGATTTTATACAGTGTTATTATTTTGTGTGTTTTGCAGTGTTTTGCAATGAGTGTTGTATTGGTCATAGAAGCAATCGCAGCATTGTTGTAGTGTTGTTGGTGGTTAAAAATAGAGGAAAGCAATATTTGTATTTTATCAGATAACGTAAGCACAGAAAGTCCAGCAAGGCCAATTATTAAAACAATTAAAACCACTTTTCAGTTCAGCTTTATTAATAACTCACCTTGATGTAACTCTCTCGGCTTTGGCAAGTTAGTAACGCACGTATGCGGACACATCAAAACGTTTGCGGGGTGAAGAGATCCTTCCAAAAATCGACGCCTTGCTTCACATAAATGTATGCCTCCGAGTGGGGTCTTAGGCAAATGATTCGGTGGCACTAGTGCCAAACAATATATTCCCACCTGATGAATGGAATCTACAGCTTGAAGAACACGCGACATCCATTGGAAACTCTCCTCCTCAGAGCAATCGGGCCGCTGTTCAGCAATAACACAGACGCGCTCATCTCGAAGTACTTTAATGCTAAATACTGCTATGCGTCCTCGGTAAATAAATCGCATGGGTTCCACTGCTAATACTGTGGCTATGATATCATCCGCATTGTGCTTTCGTCCAGTAACCGTCATAAGCCCATCCCGGGAACCGCAAACAAACACTAAGCCTCCTGGACCAAGAAAACCCAAAAGGCCTGACCTGACATAGTATTCATCGCCAATGGGCTTCGAAATAATTCCAACAGTTCCAGTACCAGTTCCAGGACCTTCTTTCGTTTGATCAAAATCTTCCAATATGGGTTGAACTTTAAATGTAGAATTTGTCATACCATCAAGCCCAAAGTAACTGGCGCTTGTTGAACCACTTGTAACGCATATTTCTCCAACTTGATCTGTCTTACACAAGACTGGTGCTCCCTCTGATCGCACGACCACCATTTGCGCAGCTGGCATGACTTGACCACAATCCTGCAATGTTAGCGATGTTAGAGAGTCTTCACTATCCACTCTAACTACACCGTGTGACAGAGCTGCCATGGAGAGTACACCGCGGCCTGTGGCTGATTGACTAAATCCACATGACCCACGACCTGGGCGACGAAGTGAAACGGTAAAAACTTCTGAACTACTTGCACATGGGCATATGGCGTCTGAGCGTAAGCCTTTTGCTTGAAACACGTTCAAAAACTGATCACATGATGAAAGTGACCAGGGATTGGCTCCGTCCGCTACTAGTAGCATACGCAATGAAGATAGAGATATGTCCTTATGATCTTTAGTAGCCAATAAACCCCAATGCAGGTCACGGCTCTTCACCAAGCAGCAGGAAGCCCTATGTTTTGTGATTAATTGCATCCAGCTTGAGGGGCGAAGCTTCATCAAGGCATAAGGTATGAAAATAACATGCATACCGTTCAGCACTGAGGTCAAAACAGCGTGCCATAAACCAACTTCTCTTTTAAAATCTAGGACACAGACAATGGTTTCCCCTTCGGTGTAATGACATGCCATAGTTAATGCCCGGCAATGATTGATCATTGCAGCACGCGTTACAGTCACACCTACAAAAAATGTGAATATGGAAAAGTAAATTAAATTTTCAATGGAAAATACTCTATGTACCACTTACCCATAACACTGCCCTCCTTATCAGTAGTATATTCAATATAAGATGATGCTGTATCATCAACGCGTAAGTTCCCAACGTTGAATTCTTTAGGGGGCTTAGGCAAGTGTTCAGTTACGAACCACTGCAAACGGGGCCAACCTTTTAGTTTCGCAATCTCACCCGTGGTTGTTGATTTGGGTAGACCTTTCAAACAAGCCTCTGAAGTAAGCGCCACAGTTATTCCACACGAACTAAGCAAGAATCCAACCTGCTGGGGAGGTGTGTCAGAGCTGGAAAGTGGCAGCTCTATAGGTAAAGGAACCAAGCCACGAAACATACAACCATACCAGGCTGTTATAAAACTGAAAGTATTCTTAGCTTAGAAAGTAGTCTTTGGACAGCAATTTTGTTACTAACCTCAATGGATCATTATTGGGATACACTAAAGCAACACGGTCACCCGGCTTCAATGTTACTTGCTCGGGTCCTTTGCTAAATATCTTCGTGGACAATGCATAGGCTATCTTTTGTGCACGTGACAGCAGCTTTCCATATGTCAGGGTGGTTGTTATTTTACCATTAGGATCAAGAACCGTAGCCATGGAACTTTTAAATGAATTTGTGCCATATCGCTGGAGGGCGCATTCCAGAGTGCGCGGAAGCCCTGCTGGTATCGAGAGTTGCTCGCCTTGCACGGAAGTCATTGTGCTGCCTTCCGGTTTCGGTGCATTGGGATCCTTAGTGTTTGCTGCAATCTCAAGTTCAATGTCGTTGTCCTCATAGAATTCGGGAAGTGGGCGACGCTTGGGTCTCTTAAGTGTGTTTAAAAGTTGTTGTATTTTAGCGGAAACCTTCCATTTACCATTTGCATCTGTGTCATTAAGTTCACTTTGGGATACATTCACATATCTTGTTACGCGGTCAGCAATGCGATGTGTATTATTAAACTGTGTGATGTCTGGAGCGTTGACTAATAAAAGAGCGGAAAATGCTCGTTTGTACAGAGTTCGACTATATAAGGGGTTCGGTTGACGTGCAGTTGCACTTTCATTGACTATAAGAAGATTGGTCTCTATCTATCATGCATGATTTTGTTGGTCTAATACATATGTAAACATGCACATACATATATGGACTTTTTATGAAACCAAATCCCTTTTAGTGCGAATTGCTCATTTATACATTTACTCACATTGCTTTTGCTTAAATGCTTTGTCCGAAAAGTCTGTATCTCGCTTGTAAGCAATAGGGGGTGACTCCATACTCGATGTGTCAGATGTTGGCTGAAATTGTAAATATTATTTTTGTGTGTTGACCCATTTTTATAGGCAAAAGCCCTTTTTGTAAAATGTATATTGATTGGACCTTCCTGCAAGTTACAGCTACTATTGATATTATACTCACAAGTGGTGGCAAATTTTGGGGTGGCCGTTTTTCTGCCACACTGTTCGATGATGAATACTTCTGATTTGGCGTTTGTGACTGTTTTACATCAAGTCGCAGATGCTGCTGAGAGCTCATGGATGATTCACGAATTGGTGGTTTTATTATCGGTTCTGGTGGTATCATACTATTGCTTATGTGATCACGCGGATAGTTGTACTCCTTGTCAGGAGAAATAGTTTCCTCTGGTATGGATTCGTCATCTGTAGATGAGTCCAGCTCATCATTACAGCCAGGACTGCGGTTAAGCACAGATGTGCGTTTTGATGGCATCGGAAGACTAGGTTTTGGTCGACCTTTAAGTGCTGCTAAGGCCTGCTGCACGGCCTCCTGACGTACCTCTGCAGGTTGAAATTACGCTTATAGTAAAAATAGTAAAAATTATTAGGAGAGACCTACCCGAATGATAACGTTTTTCATTATGCGTTACTTTGCGCTGTGTACGTCGCTGGCGGTGTTGACTATTATTTGAAGTGGACTGGTTTTGAAAACCGCTTGGCTCGCGAGTATTCTGATATCCTGGATCGCCGACTGCACCACCTTGTGGGCGCATATTTTCATAACCAGGTGTCCCAGCCGCTCCGCTCTGAGCGGTTGATGATGCTGTTACGGAGGAAGACTGATGAAAGTCTAACTTTTTGGAATGTCTTTGCTGTGAAGAGGAGAGAGAAGGTACTTCGGTCACATAACTATAGCCTTCACTGGAGACTACGACACCATCATTATTGATGTTTCCATGACTGTTGCTATTGTTGGCATCTTTAACGTTGTAATATGGCGGTGGCGGCGTTGTTTTTGCCTTGTCGACGCTAATAGCTGTCATAAAAATATGCACGAAATAAAAGAATGTCACAAAGTTTAAAATAATTCCAATGTCGTACATACCTTCATTCTTTTTTAGAAACGGTTGCAATAACTTAGCTCGTTTCTTTTCATAGCCTTTTTGCGTAATGTCACCTGAAAAAAAAGATAAGAATATTCAATATTAAACGTATCTATGTATGTACATACATATGTACATGCACTTCTCTTAGATATTGTGCGAGAATGCATTGCTGCTGATTAAATATTAAAAATTAAGTTGACACAATATTTTGAAAGGCGAATACATTAATTAATCTCAACCATTTTTTATTGCACTAAAATATATGTATTTACTCTTTTGGGCAATCAAAACATAAAAAGCAAATATATACATATGTATGTATATACACACACACGGATAACATGGACTTACCCTCTGAGAGCTCTAAGTCTAATTCGGCGATTTTTTCGCGAATATATCCAGGCAATGAGGAAGTAGACTCCATATCCAAAAAATTCGAGTTCGCTGCAAACTTTTATTTCGTTTTCTTTGCAAAAGTGTTTAACTTTTTAACTGGGCGCAGTGCACACACACCTAAAATCAGACACCGCTACTTTCCCACTTCGTTGTCAATAATCGATCGATTTGACATCTACATTTTGCTTCGGAAAATTAACAGAACCCGTAGTTTCAGCAACTTTACACGCAGGGTCAATACTATGTGATAGTTTTTTATATACTTAATTATAATTTTCACAGGAAAAGTAAACAAAGAAAAAGTGGAGTACAAAATCGATTTTATGATGTGCTAGTCTAGCGAAAATTCCGATGACGTTTGTCTCACATCCCTGTGGCGTGGCATTCATCGATGTATCGACTGACAAATTAAAAACATCGACGCGACAAAGAAACTCTGCTCTCCAAAAGTTCACGGAAAATTATATTTTATGTATGTCTCTTCGAGAAGAGTGCTACGGCTACAATAGTTTTAGTTAGCAGTTAGTGTCTGTTCTCGTATTTAATTCAAAATTATATTCGATAGTTTAAAAACGAGCGGAAGACGACAGACTCTCTGGGCATTATTAAAAATGGGTGAGTTTAATTAAAATTAAATTTAATTAATTAAAATTTGCAGTGCAACTAATTGAATATTGCATTCTGTGTAGATAATTCAAAGCTTCTAGATGAAATATATTCATTGAAAATCTTGGGTCAACATTATGAAAATGTCTTGAAGCTGGCGGGTATTGAATTATGCGATTTTTTGAACGATGATCTTTTAAAGAAGACTGCACAATTATATGCAGACTTGCACGTTCATGCGTTAGATTTAAACTATTTGCGTGACCTCTACTATGGACTACAGAAAGGTCGCATAGAAAGCAAACTGATTATCGCGCAGCAACAAACACATGTGCAGCGCATTAAGACTTCAATCGACGAAGCAGCTGAGGAGGTAGCTGTATTGGAACGGTAATCAGGATCCCGTTTATATGTACATATATAGAATATCAACTAAATTCATTCCTTCGCTCTCCAGATTCAACTCCACAGCGGAAAAACAATTGATCCCTGATGGAGCCGTTCAGCAGCAGCGCAACAATATACTGGATACCAAACGGGCTTTGTGGAAGAGACAGAAAGCTCTAGAAATGCCGACAGACTTCAATATCGAGAGTATTATACAAAAAGTTAATTCGCTGGAACGTAACTGTCAAATGTTAACATTTTCTTTATAAAAAATGATTTAGATGTATTTACTCAGTAATGCAAAAACACTTTACAATAACATAAAATCATCAATTCAAAAAAATGTATTGTTTCGATTCTAGAGTGCAAAAGTGCTCGTTCTTTCTGTGTTTATATTTTATGGAGGATACAAAAAGGTTCAATTGCTTCTAGTTTGGGTCGTATATTTATTTAAAGGATCATTTTGAAAATTAAATTGAAAACCAAATCGTTATCGCTTTATCAGTTGCTTAAAGCATACAAAAAGTGTATCGTGTTCTTCCAGTGTATGTATGTATTTCCAATTTAGTATATGTTTCATATATATTGGTGTGTATAGATAGAATTAGTAATTTCATATTTTTTAAGTTGTTGCTTGTTATGTATATAAAGGGCGGGTATGTGGCAGACAAACATTTCGGCTAGCAACGCGCTCCACGCCACAGGCCTACTCCACGTTTTAAGCCGACTCCTAGCGGAACTCGGGAGTATCGTCCTGTGTTATGTCTCCGTACTTCCAGATGGCCAAGTGGGAGGCCAAAGCGGCTTCTTGCGCGGCTCTATACTGTTCCACCAGATCCTTAAGCTTCCGCTCACGTCGTTTCTCCGCCAGTACAAGGCCTTCGGCAACGAGTTGCTTGCCAAAGTCAGTTTTAGTCGTTGGATCATGTAGTGTGGCCAAGTTTGGTGCTCCGGCCACCTTTAACTCCACATTAAGCTGCACTTTATGGTTCAAAACGTCTTCAGAAAAAGCGCGTAGAGCTTCCTCCTTATCCTCGTTGTCAGCGGGCAGTGCAACTAAGGCCAACGCGTATTCCGTAGCATACGGCTTCTCGCTACTGAAGGCTGGCGGCAATGCTGCCAAACGGTTGGTGGGCAGGGTCTGAAGTGAAATCACATTAGTATGCGGAAACAAACAATTTTTGAATAATAATGTCGCTACGAGAAGACATATGACAAAGCGCGATTCGGGTGCCCCCAGTAACTCTGCGCACTTTCCTAACACTTAAGTTATTACAGCTACTGTGGACAGCGGTTGAACCAAAATATATGGAGCATCCTTTGCACCGATGTAGAGAATTCCTCACGGCTGGGAACAGAGCACGCATTTGGCGTTACTGTAGAGTTTGGTCCACACCCTCGTGCAACATCAACACATCCATCTCAGAAGCAATATTAATATTGCAAGCTTATGACTCATGCGTTTCACTTTGAGGCGGAAACGGATCTAAGGAGCGTGCAGTATCGTTTTTATTATTATATTCGTACACTTACCTCCTTATTACCGTAATCGATGTACAAAACGGTAGCGTTGCTTCCCTGAATTCGTTCTACCTTGGCGCGATACCATTGATTGTCTAAGGTGAACTGAGCGGCCACCAGATCGCCACGTTTAGGCGTGTACGATCCAGCGATGGGAGGATTGCCGTGGAAGTCAGCATGTAGTTTGCTCATTAGTGTTTCGAGCTTGGGGCCGTTCTCCACTGACTGTGCGAAGAACGTAAGAGTCTCGGTAATTTCAGTAACGATAACATTTTCGTAGTTGACTTTGCGCTCTACCAATATTTTCTCTTCCTTTTCCTCTTCAACCACAACCTTCTCTTCGGGGACTTGCTCCACATAGTTAGCCCAAATGTTCTTTTTAGCCGCCTTGGCACGATCTTCGGCACTCTTCAACAGGCGATAATATTCAGATTTTTCTGCACTAAAGTGAACTTCGGCAAGACCTTCTTCCACAAGAGCAACTGAAAGGTTGGCCCCAGCGTCGGTCCACAGCCAGCCAATAACTGAGGATCCTGCCTTGTCAGTGGTATCAATATGTACTGAAACGTCACGCTGCAAAACGCGCTCGCGTGTAAAGGTAAGAGCTTCGTCACCAAACGGTTCTCCTTCTTGAGCAGGTACGCCATTCAAGGCAGGGCGAGAAGAGCGAGGACAAGATATTCCTGCTAACAGGAATGTTACCAGACAGCTGTCCTTTGGCACAAAAATACGCAGTCGGGAGCCGCTGGCAACAAACTCGACAATGGCTTCGGATCGAAGCGCACGCTGCCACGAAGGCAAGTACTGAACCTTGATTCGGGAATGGTCAACAGTCAGATCGTTTACACGCAATGTAGCGTTATCCTTTTTGGCGTGCAGTCCCTTCAGTCCTTTGATAGCTTGCTGCTCAGCAGCAATAAGTTGATCGTAGGCGGAAGATCTCTGATCATCATCTTGGCGATAACGTACGCATGTAGCCAAGCCTTTTGCCACCATTGCTTCAGCCACATTTTGACCGCCAATTAAAACTGTGTAACAGTACTTCTCAGGGAAATTTTCGCGAGGCGGCGAGATGTAATCAAGATTACACTGCACTTTCTTATTAATCAGTTTCTTGCGTAGAAACTCGCGTGCGTCGAACATGTGCGGAATCTCATAAAGTGGCCGGTAGTTCTTTCCACGTGGTGGGGCCTTCACAATTTCTTCACCATCCGTGCCAACTACAGCACGTTGGTCACGTGGTGGTCTAATTGACGAAAAGAACACCTTCTTAACGTGGCCATTCGAAAGACGCACATTGACAGCATCGCCATTAAAGACTTCAATAACAGTGCCTCCAAAGTCTTTTTCCTTCGAGTTAAAAGCGGGTGTTTTTGCTTGATAGTCTTGCCACTGACGAAGGCGTTTTTCCTTGGCAACACGTTCCGCAGCACGTAGTTTATCCGCACCTGCAAATGAAAGACAAAAAGATATTGAGTACAAATAATTGAAATATTTTAAACAAAATATACGTATACATTCACAGTTGTCGGCGGGGTGAAATGAACGCAATGGCAATATAAATCTGCCACAACATTCTTGGAGTCCGTCATTTATGTAGCAACCGATTGCTTAGCAGAGCAGCACATCACAAGGCTATGTACCAATTAGATGCTGCAGCTGTGCAAACGAACTGCTAGCTTTTCTATCTAAACTGTTGGTAGGGTTTTACACTCACCTGTTTTCATTACCGCCATGGACCAGTCCACGCACTTTGCTAATCCTTCGCGCAACAGAGACTCCGCAATGTTACCCTTCGGATATAAAATCGATCCAATGAAGTTCGAGTTGTTAACCGATTCCAGTCGGATTTCAACATCACGCTGCAGAAGGCGAGTCTCTACGTAGTAACGCGCTTCATCTGCGAACGGCACCTTGACGCTAAGGTCGGGCTTGCCATCAGCATCCAGCTTTACGCCCGGGCAACGAATTCCAGAAATCATGAGAGTTATATAATGAAAATCAGGAAGCAGAAATGCGCGCACAGTTGAACCATCTCGCACGTGCTCGATGATGGCCTTGACCGGTTTTCCTCCATAGACATCAACAATGTGGGCAGGATTCTCGTGAGCCCACTTGATGTTACGAACCTTCTCTACGGCGTTCACATTATGCGACCACTTACCACGGCCAGCGGCACGTGCTTGGTCTTCCAGCTCAATTAAAGTTTGTTGCTCAGGCGTAGGGCGTCCTTCGCGGCGGACAGATACCAAACCCTCGCGCACAATCGACTCGACCACATTTTCGCCAGTTTCCTTATCCTTACCAATCCACACGAAGCCGTACTCCCGGTTGGAATTGGCTGGCTTGTCAAAAGTAAATGTCACTTCAACGCCGATCAACTTCTTACGAAGAAATTCCCTTGACTCCCAGGCCCAAGGTTCGTCTTTAGTCTCGTCACCGCCAGCACCAGGACGACGAGCTAGTTTTGGTGCAAGGACATGTGAAAAGGTAATTTGTTTCTCCGGAGGTGGGGCACCCTTAGTGGCGCGTATTACTAATGTGTCGCCAGAGAGTACCTAAAAAATAGAGAGTCTTACAAACTGGAACTGAAGTGAGGTTATAATGACATGCACATGTCGATAGTGGTGGAGCTTATATATTTTGATACTATCGGATGCTTTGGTCTATGACATATTGTTCCATCTCCATTAAAATGACAACACGTACAAGTTGCTATCGATATTTTGTATTTATGTATATTTTTATACTTTGTCAAAGAATGCCCCGAAACGTAGACAAAAAAAAAACGTTCACCGCTCCATGGTTACTGATCACTATATTACTGACAAATAACTCGAAAACTATGCGCTAATCAGTGCATCCATAGGTGTACATATAAGTAAATACATTTTTTGTATGCTTGCGGAGCGAGCACATGCAATATTGACAAGCTATGAAATAACACCAATATTAGCTTATTAATAAACGATTGCAACAAATCTTATACCTCCTTCCTATCTCCTATGTTTTAGCCAAAAAGGGTATGTTTTTCTCTAAAAAAGCTCAACAACAGGTTTTTCTCTCAAATAGTATGGGTGACAACGTCACACAGTCGTCTGACTCTCTCACTTTCTATAAACGGATCGGCAGATAATTGCACTATAAAAGTGCTAAGAAAAGTGCCCATGTCCTTAACAAAATTATATTTAATTATTTTGTACTTTTGGACTGTCAATGCATACATACGTATTTACATATGCATGCATGTTGGAACGAAGTTCTCCTCTCTAAGGGCAGGGCGGGTAAGGTTTTTGCCGAAGAGGTTAGGAACGAACTAACTGCCATGCAGTGACTAACACTTGTTGTAAAACAAACATGTCAATATTTTATGCATTATCAACGCTCGAACCCTTAAAAAATGCTTTTAAGAATTAACAGCGCGGTTAAAAGCAAACCATTTCGAAAAGCCGGCAAATTATGTTGATGACGTTGTCAGGCCAGTGCCCACAATAACAACAACCTCTTAGGCACATACATGCAGTAGATGTAGATATGTATGCACACGAAACTAGCACCGCGCCGAAGAAAATCTGCCAGGTTGGCACCTTCGATAACTTTCATTTCTTCTTTGGACAAGCGTGTGCAACGTGTCACTCACACACGCACAGAGACAATACGCACGTCTCTTTCGCACTTGTCAGAGCTGCACTCGGTAATTTTATCAAGCCGCCGCATTTGCCACGCTGATGACAGATAATACCTTTAATGCGAGGAAATTCCCTAATGCTGTCTCCACACACATCCTGATGCCGCCCCAACTCCCTTGTATTCAAATGAACTTACTTGTTTCACAATTCCAGACAACGTCTTCGCTGGGGCTGGAGGCACACCATCTTTTGGTGCTCCGGCAGCTGCCACGGTGTTGGCTGCTGTTGCCATTTTACGTAGAAATGCGGGTGAGGTTTTTACCAAAAAGCCCTTACACAAGGCTGTAATAAGATGATTTTATTTGTCACGTTCGAACACTGACTGCTTCTAACCTAATTAAGTTATTTGAGCAAGGAGGAGCCACACACAATAAAATGTTCCGAATTTTCACGATGGTCGTGATGGGGAAGCTGATACATCGATATATCTCGTTTTCTATTGTATTTGCAATTTCCATTTACGACGATGTCACAGACCAGTCTATCGATACGTGACATATTTTATGGAAGTTTGCAGGGTGAGTCACCTAGACAGGGTTCAATATGCAAAAATCGTGCCGCGCGGGAACGCATAACAACACATATCTAAATTAAAAAGGTAATGAGCCGAGCAAATAAGAGAAGCACACAATAAAATGTTCCGGATTTTCACTGTGGTCGTTCTAGGGAAGCTGATACATCGATATATCTCGATTTATATTGTATTTTCCAGCTCTTTCCATTTCGACGATGTCACAGACCAGTCTATCGATACGAGACATATTTTTATGGAAGTTTGCAAGGTGAGTACATAAACAGGGCTCACAACAACGCATCTCTAAATTAAAAAAGTAATGAGCCGCGCAAACAAATTGTTTGGCGATAAAGCCTTCGAATTGCTAAAGGACCTAGAAAGATCCTCCCAAACCATTCCAGCTTTTGATGACGACGGAGTGCGCCAAGTACTTGAGGAGATAAAGGCAATTTTCGAGGAGAACGTCGCTCAGGCATCCAGCTACAACAGCTCGGGCGATCGGAGTTTGTGGCCGCTGTTAAATTATAGGCATGCGGCGTTGCAGCGGAACAAACGTTGTTTACTGGCTTACTTATACGAGCGCAGTAAACGTATCAAAACGCTACGCTGGGAATTTGGACCAATTATCCCTGGTGATATTAAGCAGGCCTTGTGCGAGCCGGAGGTTCAGTTTTTTAACAACTACTCCAAGTCGTTGGCGGCTTACATGTGCAACGCTGGCTGCAGCCAGGGTCAGGGTATAGATCTGACTAATAATCTACACCCTCCAAAATCTCTGTACATTGAGGTGCGCTGCATGGAGGACTATGGAAAATTCGAACTTGATGATGGAGAGCTCATACATCTGAAGAAGAACAGTCAGCACTATCTGCCGCGGGCCCAGGTGGAGTCTCTTGTACGGCAGGGCATACTGCAGCACATTGCTTAATGGTAAAAACTTATTTGTTTAAAAACAATAAACATATAAAAGTAATAAATTATGTTATTTTGTTTTCAATGATACCTATCGATTAATCGTGTAACTGGTGTGGAATCATCGCTAGGACTGGCCACTCTGTCAGCTGTTTGCCGGTCTTACGTGACGGCCTCGCATTTTTGCTTTTAATAAAATTAAAATTAGTGATAAAAATGAATCAAGCAGATGTAACCAAATTGATCTCCCAGTTGCGAATTGCTGTTAGGCCCAGTCAGCGTAACTTGAAAAATTCAGATGGACCTGAGGGGCGCTTGCTAAAGCTACGTAAAACTGTTACCGCCTTGATGAAGCATGAGCGTATTGAATTGTACTACAATCGAGCTGATGAAGCTCGTGGTTATGCCGAACTGGTTCGTATAATTTCGAATGGCTATAATATCAGTTCATTACATTCTATTCCGATTCCAAAACAGCTTATTTCCAATGCCATACGACATGGGGACCGCCATAAGGCCACCATGGAACTAGCTGATTATTGGCTCCTGGAGAAACAGCTGGTCCACAAGCTGTTTAAAGTACTAGTTCCCCGCTACGAAAACTACAATGTATCTTATACGCGAATGTACAGAGCGCCTCGTGATTATCCAGGAATGTACTACAGACAGTCGGTGCTAGAGCTTCGTGGCAATCCGTACCCTTCCCTTGTAATGGATCAATCACATAACCGTAATCTGCTGCACAATGTGCTCCTTGATGAGGCCAGGAAAGAGTTTAGGCGTAAAAAATTAGCTGACTTGGTTAACTAGGAAATCAAACTATTTTCTTTGTTGGACTGGGAGTGCTTATATTTAAGACGTGAAAACTAACCAATTAAAAGTGGACATCCATATAGAAGATTAACAAAAAGTAATATTATTCCCTTCAACACAGGTTAAATTAAATTTGTATTCTCTTTGGAACGCACATCATGTACATATGTACGTATATACATATATGTTTATCTTGCTAAAGCTTTCTGACGTTGCAATGGCTTAAGAAGTCCGATTTCCAATCTAAAGAGTGCGGAAATAGGTTAGCAGTAATTTATAGTTGCTCAGTTTTTGAATTCAATACTTACCCTTACCGGTTAGACAGGTGTCACGAACCATTTCGCACTGGCTGTAGAAAAACTGATGGTCGTTTTTGGAGGTTGCACACATGGGCTGAAACGGATCGCAGGTTTTAATCGCCATACATGCCGAGCTCCTCTGTTTTAATGGTAAAGAGACGCATAGCGTAAATAGTATAGACACGAACGAGATAAGGAAGCAAAGCAATACAATCTTCGTCGTGGATTTGCTCATCGAAGTAGAAATAACGTCCATCTTGTCTATCATATGCCCAAAAAATCGCATCATAATTTAATAGATATGCGTCTAATTTTGTTTTTAGTCTGAGCTTCTCAAGCTTCGGCAAATTTGATTGTTATTTGCTGAATATTTATGCATTGCATGCACACTTGCTCTCCGATTGCACAGAGCCAAAATTGTTTTCTGACGACACTTCGAAACGGCTATCCATCAACTGATAACCACTATACATATGTATGTACATGCATTCAACCGCTGATGCGTGCTGATTTGTTGCGCTTTTGCCCATCAACAGGGCGTTGCCATGGAAACAAGCCCAGCACATTGTCAAAGAAGCAATGATGGCTGTTCCCTTTGCCTCCGCTCTTTTCGGAAGCTATTGTTTATGCAACTAGTGAAATTGTTCTACTATGAATGGTTGCTTAACTGACTGGAACACCGGCTCTAGTCGGTGTGCTAACGTTCAAGTGGTATGGATAGTTTTTTCCTATGTTCATACATATCTATTCTATATATGTACATTATTATGTACATTCATTCCTGCAGGTTCCAAGTTCCAGTTTTAGGTGTTACGTTTTTCACGCGAAGCAATGCACATTAGGGAATGTCGGGAACGTTATCAATTCCCTTGTTAAAGGTAGGACGCATGTCAGGACTGAGCGGCAGCCTGTCAATAAGAGTCAGGTGACTTAATTACATTTGCATTATTTATTAAGTTTTATGATAGTACTTGGTGCCCAAAACGCCCACATACTGACCCCAGGTTGCTGGTAACGACGCATCGCAGTGCACTTAAAAAAGCATGCCGTAGGTCTGAGGTAGGGGCACAGTACTTATGTATGTATGAACATATGTATGTATATATTCCTGCAGACTACATGCATTTACATATATGTATTAGGCTGAGTCAAAATTTGACTACAACTTTTTGAATATATTTTTTCAAGCGAACACAACACCCCTTTATCCTGATAGCTCTGCCTGACCGTGTTATTTGTCGCCTAGTTCTCAGAGACTATAAGAGCATACTGTTAAGACTGTATTTTAAAATTTCGACATAAAACCATACGATTTTGCCCATATAACTGAGTAAAAGGTGATAAAAGAAAACTGAAAACGCCGTTTCGTAGGGAAGAAGTGGGAAGTTCGATCACCGAACTGGGATCCGATTGGATCATTAATAAAGTTGTAACGCGTCAGAAACGTCTCAGACGTCCCTTCTTGTTTTTCATTATTTTAGTCGAATACCATAAGATCTGCTGTGCAGTGAAACAGTAGTGCTGGGTGCAAGTTAAAAAAAAAAAAATCAAGTCAATTCAAAAAAGTCACCATCAGTAAGTTTTAATTATATATTGAATTTTTTATGGAAGAAATGTTTGAATATAGCGTTTGAAAAGAAACGAGTAGGGATGTGTGAGACGCTTTTTACGCTTCACAACTTTTATACCCAGCACTCAGTACTACATCTGCATCTTAGCGGTGTTTTGTCAAATTTTACATCTACAACACTCCTCACACCAACGCGCTCCTTTAGCTCGCCCCCTTCAATAGACCCACACACTGCAGACTCGCTGCAGAGGCAGAGGCCGCTGACTACACGAAGCTGAGTGTGAAAGAGAATGTGAACAAAAACAACAAAGGTGCGGGACAGGGTGGGTTTAGCCACTGCCAATTGATTTCTTCATTATGGCTTTAATAATGATCCAATCGGATCCAAATTTGGTGATCTGATAGATATGGTCATTCCCGACGGAATTTTTCTGTTATCTTCAAAACTATAGGTTTGGGAGGTTTTCGCCCTTTTCGGGGGCGGAAGGGGGCGTGGCTCATTTTTGAAATACACTTGTAACAGTGTGAGCATACAGAATGTATGCAAATTTGGTGGCTCTAGCTCTTATAGTCTCTGAGTACTAGGCGCTCATCAGGACGGACAGACGAACGGACAGACAGACATGGTTCAATCGACTCGGCTATTGATGCTGATCAAGAATATAAATACTTTATGGGGTCGGAAACGTTTCCTACTGTGTGTTACATACTTTGTGCACAAATACAATATACCCTATTTACTCTTCGAGTACCGGGTATAAAAAAAACCCTGAAAAATGATTTTGTTTGCGAAAAATTGTATTTAAGGTCTTCAATATCCTCAAAAATTATGAAAACAATTTTATATCGCTCTGAAAGAGGGTTGACAGTTCGTACACGACTGATTGCACATTGTTTAGTTGCAAGAGGTCCCAGAAAGCTACGCGTTTGAGAATTAAAGCACATGGGTACACGACTCATGTTTGGAAAAATATGAGCATGTGATCTGGGCTCTGTGATCACGTCATGAGTGTAAAGTTGTATTAGTATGTATGTAGTATGTAATATGGTAAGAAGACTCAAAAGAATATGTTTGGCGTTCAGAGATATCTGATATATTCTTAAAAATTCTTCAGGGTTGTAATGCATACACTTCTGGCTTTCTAAAGAGGTATACTTGTTTAATTCGGATGACTAGAAATATCTGAAAAGAATTTTGAAAATTGTGAGGCGCGGAACTACTATTTCATTGAACACAACTGTACATACGCATGTGCATACATATGTATGTACATACATACATCGGATACATTTGATTGCTAAGAAAAAGGAAGCGTATGTGGACCATTTTTACGTCCTTGAACTTATTAAATTATAATGGGGGTGTTAACTGCTGTTTCTTTGTTTTACATTTATGTATTTTTGCCATGAAAAATGATGTGCATATGCATATATATGCACCTACATACATACAATTGTATGTATTTATGTAAATCCATCGATATCTAACTTTCAGGCGGATGTAAGAATTTTTCGCTTGTGCAAGCACACGCCACTCATACGGCAGCCAGCGTTGAAACGCTACAGCATTCAGGATAAAAATAAAATCTACAAAATGTTTATATGTGGAACATGCGCAGCTCATTGATAAAAATACCCGACCCTGCTGCGCACTCTCTCAGTATACCCGAGATGGAATCGAGCCGAAAAACGAGAGAAAGGGCTTACTTCACAGTATAAAATCCTGCAGGATATATGTGCATATATACATACATATGGATGTACATGCCATGACGGTGGCCTTTTATGCTGCTGTTCTTATATTTTGCCATTCAGTATCGAAGAGTCGCACAACCAGAACAGTTGATAAAATCTATAGCCATCGCCATCCTTCGCTGTCTTTGGTCCTGGATTCTATTTGCAGACGTGTGGGTGTACGTGTTACACAGTTTTGAGTGTATAACTAACGGTCAGTTATCTATTTATTTTGTTGGTTGCGTACCAGTGGTCAGTGCAATTTTGTTCTAAGAAACTGGATTTTAAAGTATATTAAGCATAAATGTGTACCAAATATATTTTTAAAATAAATGAATGCGTAATCAATAACGAACATACTCGTGTGTACATACTTTAAATCAAAATTTTTCTGTGTGGCTGTGCTGTGTATCTGTGGCAAAACGGGCAGGGCGTCGGGCCATTCTGAAGTTTGTTTTTTAGACTTTTCAACTTTCTTTATGCCAACCAATTTTTTTTTCAACTTGTTCAAATTGAAAGGATTTCTTTGGCATTTGGAATGGCAATACCCAGAAGTCAGTTTATGTATCTATATATAAATACACACACATATGCAGTTTTTTCTCCCCTTCCGCAGTGGGCTTAACAGACACACCATGAAAAATAATTATAACGCGCTTTTGCTGGCAACACTTGCAACATGGTCAGCAGTATTCTGTAGCACAGTTTTGGGAACAACAGAGGGACAGGAAACGCCATTGGCTCTTCCTGTAGCTGAGCATACAACTTCTCCTTCCATACAAGGAGAAGTCTGGGAGGAAGACGACCACGAAGTGTTAATAAGGAACGAACGTGGTACAAAAAGTGATGGTAAGTGGTTTGGTTTTTACTTTCTTCTCTATGAATTTGGATGACGGTAAACTAAAAAAACCTTTTTTTGGCTCATTTTTATATATATTTAAGGACTTTCATGTCGATATGGCAAGAATCCGTGGACTGAATGTGATACAAAAACCAATACGCGCTCCAGAACATTGACATTGAAAAAGGGAGATCCGGCATGCGATCAAACTCGCACTATTCAGAAAAAGTGTAAAAAAGGTAAGCGTACATGATTTCATTTTATTTTTTGCAAATTCCTGCATGAATTGGTTATCCTACAATACAGCATGCCGCTACGAAAAAGGATCTTGGTCTGAGTGCGCCACCGGACAAATGACCCGAGCCGATAAACTAAAAGCGAGCAGTGATCCATCTTGCGAAGCAACGCGTGTTATCAAGAAGAACTGCAAGCCCGGAAAGTCCAAGGATAAGAGTGCCAAGGAACAGCGTAAAAACAAGGACAAAGGTAATTTTTTTAAAAAACTATCCAAGAAACAAAGTAAATAGCGTCACCATAAGTTTTAGTAATTGCATACGTATTTACATTTATCCAATTCCTTTCGTAATGCACAAAAATAACATACATTTATTTCTGTTCTTATTTCCATGCAGGCGCTCGCAAAGGACGCGTTTAAGTGATTTCATACATGATCACTTGAAAACCCAAAACTTATTTATGCAACGCAGAATATTAAATTCAATAACATACATACATACCCACTTATTTAGTTTATTCAAAAAATGAAATACATACTACATACATACATACAATTTTCTAAAATTATTTAAAACTGATGGGGCAATTACCAGATCCGGTGGAAGAATACAAAGAAAATAGATAAACGCCCCTTAAATTGTCAAACAGTTTAAATCGGACACATTTTAAAAAAATTACCAGAGTTGTTCTTCGATTGAATTTTACATAATACTACCCGTAAATATAAAAAACAAATACAATTAATCAAATATCTGATGTAAAATTTTGGTAAAGTATCAGCTTCTGTATCTGATCTCAACAAAACAGAACGGTAACATTAGCAAAGAAAATGGAATAAAGGAGACAGTATAAAGATCGTCATTCACTGATATAAATTACATAAAAATACTTAGTGTAAATATTGTAAAAAAAAAATCAAAGAACTTACTATATTGTATGTACGAAACCTAAAATCCCTGCAGTAGTGGACAAAAGTGAGTTGATTTGGAATAAGAAGAGCATAAGCGTCGTTTTCTGTACTGCAGTGCACTGTAGGCGTTGGTATTTTAAAGTAGCTTTAATCTAATTTTCAATGGGTAAAATTTAAAGTTATGTATATACATACATACATACATAATATGTATAAATGTATGTAATATCCCAAAAATATATGGTAATGAAATACATATATACATATGCGAACTATTAAACAGTATAGTTTTACCATTTTACAGCATTGGTTTATCTTTTTATTAACAAAATAAAAATATAAACACACATCAATTTTTAATGTTGACGACAACTAAATGTATTTGACTGTAGGTCATATTTTACTACACCATAAACATACCGCAACTGCATCCACATAACGGAAAAAAACAGCTCCCATCAACTTATGGGCCATTATTAAACTAAAATTCCTTTTATTAATTCATAAAGAAGAAGAACAACCAAGTAATACCCCAAAAATTAAGTCGAATCGCTTACGTACGTATACATATACATACATACATACAATATAAGACATAAGAAATAACTGAACTTTAATAAATACAAATATTACCAAAATACAAATTTCAATCAAATTTGAAAGAATTATATTTCTGTCTTTTTCATCATGACGACGCTTTGGAAGACTAACATGATGAACTCAATGAAATTCGAGTAGCTACAGGAGACATGAGTTTTTAAATCGTCGAGCGGAAGGGCGCACACCTATATGTATGTACATATGTTAATGTGCGTATGTACATAAGTATGTACATACACATGTATGAATCTATTTTTAGGGTCTGAAACCTTTAAGATAACAAATTGCCTGGCAGGGTATCGAATATTGCAGACAATTTTTGAGCAGTTTGTAATGCAGTGCTTTAATTTCTTTCGAGGAGAAGTTTATTGTTACTCCGAGTCACGACCATGCGCACATCCTGCTCCGTCAGATGGAAAAATGGGAATCTGTGCCGGTGCAGTGGTGAAACAGCGCCAGGTACATACATATATACATATGCATGTATATATATGTACCCACATATGTACATATGTAATATCGACAAAGAGTTAGGTGCCGTTAATTAAGACTCTCGACTGTCATGAAATTGATGACACAGGAGCATAGAACGTTAGTGTATGTACATGTGTACATACATAAATGGAATGTAAGCATATCCGAAAATTCAATTGATATCGGAAGTTACGGTTCCTAACTCAAAACGATAGAGCCGATCTCTTATTTTCCTCTTTGCAGAAAGGGTCATTCATTAAGCAAGAGAAGAAATAAGAAGTGGAGCGTGTTCAAGTGTTTAATAAAATATGTGCATACACACATATGTATGTATGTAGGTACATTCATTCGCATATGTACATATATTTTTTCGATGCCATTCCCTTTGACTTTGCTTTTGCTTTTATTTTTAACAAAAATGAACCTCTCTTCTCTCTTGTAAACCTCTCAGTATAGTCACTCGAAACTTGTTTTGAGAGAATGTCCGCTCAAACTTGCTCAAAACTGTGTACTGCGACATACATACGCACGCTCATTGCTGCCCATACATATATCAATGTGTATACATAAACATATGTATGTATGTATGTACATATTTATTTATTTCTGTGAGGCTGGTCGAAGAAAGAACTCCAATCTGTTACACAATGTGTGGTCATTGTTTACATTCACTTACATAAGTATGTATGAATGTATTTGCATACATTTATTAATAGATATGTACATATGTATGTACAACCATATTCTAGCATAGTGCACCCATGAACACACAAACTTCCCTATCTTATCATTTCTACTGTGAGTATTTACATTAATAGTACTGTTTTTTCATGGATTTTTCTCGGTTTCTTTTCATTAGTACGTACTTACATACATACATATGTACCAACATATGTATGAACATACATACATATAAAGCCGGTGGCATTAAGTATCAAGCAAGAATCATTCTTTTAATGATTAAAGATATACATATGTACACACATAAATGTAAGTATGTATTTACATTGCGTACAAACAGTGGCGCCTTTCCTACCGACGACTGCAAACGCAAGCAGGAGATACGTGCGCACATACATAAATACATACTTACATGTATTTTCCTAACTGATAAGAATGAACGCATTCAATATTTATTAAAAAGTAAACACTGGACATGACCATACATGAACACATACATACCTCTGCATGTCCGTTTTTATATATGCAAGTATCTCCATGCTTAGGGTACATGCATACATATACATATTTTGACGGCATAAAATCCCTCTCATTTCGCTCCCATTTCTTTGAGAGCGAGAGCGGAAGAGAGAGCGCACAACCATGAGATGAGTTAAGTGAACACACTGAACTGAGCGCAATCCTCAATTCAATTTAAAAATTCAATTCCATTTTCAGCTCGGATCGTGACGAATCGCGATCCATCCGTAGAGTTTTACAGTAAATATCGGTTTGGCCAATACATTTATAAGTTTTAACTTAATATTTTGTGAAGTAACACCTAGTGTCCATTTCCCGAATTTCCCGGACCATTTGAGTGAGTTTCTTTGTGTGATTAACATCATTCGGGATTTGTGCGCGCGCAGCATTATTTCAGCTCACCCCTTCCTGTTTTTGTCCAGAAAGACTACCCGTTGAGTGTAAAACTTGGGGAAGAAAGGCCAAAAGCTGCTGATTTGTAGCAATAATTCGGATACGATTGCAAACGCAACTTTGATTGAAAGGTACAATAAGCGACCTGAAGCAATTGACATGTAAATAGGTATTTTACATTGTATTGTAAGTATGTATGTAAATACATATTTATGAGTATCTAAAGTGGCACCACCTTCTCAAGTTCTGGGGAGAGTCAGAATTAACAATAATTGTAAGAGCTAAAAAAAACGAATTAAGCTTATAAATTTAATAATTTATGTACATATGTAGATGGTGCTCATCGTGAAAATAATATCATTCTTACCACATGGCTGCCTGTCAGAGCACCGTCAGAATTACAAAGAAATATTTTTATTTTATCAGCTTTCAATTCGTTCAATGCAATGCATGATTTTAAATAAATTGTTTGTTTTTGCCGCACACATTGGCAAATTTCGATGTACATATTTTTAAAGGGATAGGGATATATGGGGATTTATAAAGGGATATATGTATGTATGTACATTATCGGATATATATACCCGGTACTCGAAGAGTAAAGGGTATATTGTATTTGTGCACAAAGTGGATGTATGTAACGCAGAGAAGGAAACGTTTCCGACCCCATAAAGGATATATATTCTTGATCAGCATCAATAGACGAGTCGATACAGCCATGTCTGTCTGTCCGTCCTGATGAGCGCCTAGTACCACCATTTTTCCATTTTCTGTATGTTACAAGTGTATTTCAAAAACGAGACGGGACGTGTGAGACGCTTCTTACGCGTCACAACTTTTATACCCGGCACTCAGGACTACATCTGCACCTTAGCGGTTATTTGTCAAATTTTACATTTTTTCTTAATCTGTCATCTACATCTACAACACTTCTCACACCAACACGCTCCGTCAGCTCGCTGCCCTTCCCTAGACCCACACACTGCAGACTTGCGGCAGAGGCAGCGCCTGCACACAAAAAAAAACGAATATAAGCTGCGGGACGGGGTGGGTTAAAAGTCGGAAGAGGCAGGGGGAGGGCAGGGGCAGGGGCCGAGTGAAGCGAGAGTGAATGAGAGAATGTAAAAAGAGCAACAAAAGCTGCGGGACAGGGTGGATTTAGCCACTGGAAATTAATTTCTCCATTGTGGCTATAATAATGATCCGATCGGCTCCCAATGTGGTGATCTGATAGATCTGGCCTTTTCCTACGGAATGGCGTTCTTTTATCTTCAAAATTGTAGATTTGGGAGGTTTTCGCCCTTTTGCGGGGGCGAAAGGGGGCGTGGCTCATTTTTTAAATACACTGGTTTCAGTGTGAGCATACAGTAGTCCGGAGCCAAAATTTAGTGGCTCTAGCTCTTATAGTCTCTGAGAACTAGCCGACAAACAAGACGGAAAGACGCACAGACAGACATCGAATCGTCTATTGATGCTGATCAAGAATATATATACTTTATGGGGTCGGAAACGCTTCGTTCTGCGCGTTACATACAACCGTTATTCCCCACAAATACAATATACCCTATTTACTCTTCGAGTACCGGGTATAATGAGCCCAGCCCCATTCCGCCCACGCAAAAGGGCGAAAACCTCCCAAACCTACAATTTTCAAGATAAAAGAAAACTTAAAAATTCCGTAGGGAATGATCATATATATCATATCACCAAATTGAGATCCGATTGGATCATTATTATAGCCACAATGAAGAAATGAATTTGCAGTGGCTAAACTGGGACGGGATGCGGCTTATTTTTCTTTTTAGCACATTCTCTCATTTACACTCTGCTTCGCGCAGTGTGCCTCTGCCGCGAGTCTGCAGTGTGTGGGTCTAAGGAAGGGCGGCGAGCTAACGGAGCGTGTTGGCGTGAGAAGTGTTGTCGATGTAGATAACAGATGAAGAAAATATTTAAAATTTGACAAAACACCGCTAAGGTGTAGTACTGAGTGCCGGGTATAAAAGTTGTGACGCGTAAGAAGCGTCTCACACGTCCCTTCTCGTTGTATTTACATACTTACATACATATGTATGTACATATGTACTAATTTTGCATTTTGGGCTTTTCTCTGACGAGGACCACCAATATATATGTATGTACATTTGTATGTACTTTAATACATACGTATGTACGTATGTATGTATGTACGTATGTATGTATGTAGTACATACAATTTAATTCTGTTATTATTATCTAAAATTATGGAAAGGCAACTCATTTTCTACACATGTACATATGTACATAGATTCGGAACTTCGTCGTACATATTAACATATACAAAAAATTTTTAGAAAAAAATAGGTTAAATCTTGGCAAACCTGTATATTTTAACAATTTTTCAATGGTTTGAATTTAACTTTCAAGTGGTAGCAGAGCCGCCCCTTTTTATTTATTCCTATTGCTTTTTATTTCAGGCTCTCAGAATAAGCCATGAATCTCATATTTACATCAGCATCCGCACTAACGGTTCTTCATATTGTTCTGCTGGCATTGGCGGATGTCCCTTCATTGGTTAATGGAGAAGAGGTCCCTGATGGTGTTCGTTTGGTCATGAAGACTCGCTCCGGCGATACAGTTATCAGGGCGTCCCGTGGTGCACTCGCGGATGCGACAGTCACTCCAGAAACTGTGGGTGCGGAGAACCAACGCATCAGAAACAACCGTAAATCGAATAAATCGCAAGATACTTTGCAACAGGCAGGAGGTCACAAGTCGGGCCATAAGAAGCATGGGGCCGAGGAGCATGGAAGTGCGGTCTCACAGAACCCACAGCAAAATCACAAGCAAAATCACAAAAATAATAACAATCAGCAGAGGCAGGTAATAAAGCAGCAACAGCATGAGAATCAGCCACATCAAGGGGGAAAGCGACCAGGACCAAAGGCAAAGGCTTCAGAAACAGGTGAAGAAATCTTCGAGTAGTACTTGAATATGTGTGGCTGGGCCCTTGAACATTTTTATACCCGGTACTCGAAGAGTAAATAGGGTAAAAATGTAACACACAGAAGGAAGCGTTTCCGAATCCACAAAGGATATATATTCTTGATCAGTATCAATAGCCGAGTCAATCTAGCCGTGTCTGTCAGTCCGTGAAGAAATTATTTTGCAATGGTTAAACCCGCCCCTTCCAGCAGTTTCTTTGGTTTTTTTGCACTTCTCTCTCACTCTGCTTCGTGCAGTGTGCGGCTCTAGGCGAGGGGGCCAGCTAAAAGATCGAGTTGTCGTAAGAAGTTATTTAGATGTAGATGACATACATAGAAAATATGTAAAAATTTGAAAACAAAAAAAAATACAATAAGGTACAGGTACTGAGTACCGGGTATTAAAGTTGTGACGCGTAAGAAGCGTCTCACACGTCCCTTTTCTTATTTTTCTTTAATTGTTTTGCAGCGTCGACTTGCAGGTATGCAAAGAGTGCTTGGTCAAATTGCGACGCCAAAACCAACATGCGCACTAGAATTCTATCTCTAAAGAAGGGGGAGCAAAATTGTCTGCCAACACGAACTATACAAAAGAAGTGCAAAAAAGGTTGGTTAAAATGCTTAGACCACAAACTAATACTACATTTGCTGGCCATTTGTAATGGGTTTTTTTTTAAATTAACTTAATTACCAAATTATTTTCTCATTTTACCAGGATGTCGATATGAAAAGGGCACTTGGACACAATGTAACGCGGGACAAATGACACGAGAGGATCATTTATATGTAGAGGGATTTGGGTCCAGCGATCAGAACTGCGATCCAGTGCGCACCGTCAACAAAAAGTGCAAAGGCACGGGAAGACCTCTTGAGGGAAAGCACCACGGCCCACACCGAGCCACAAAGGAGCGTAAACAGAAGGAAAAAGGTAATTATGATACTTGTGTAACACAAAATTTAATTAATAAATCAATGCTCAAAACAGGTACTCGTCGTACTTCGAAACAGGAGTAGAAAAGGCATGATGTGAAGTACTTATCTACAAATCAACAACAGTAAAGGCATATTTTCTTAAGCTGGTTTTCTAAAAATAAGATCGTACACTTTGTAAAAAAAATCAATCTATAGTTTTCATTGAAAGCATTCAAGGAGTTTCATTTTATTTTTCTCGAGGAAAAAACCTTGTGTCTTATCTTGTAGTATAATTTGAATTAGCGAGTATTTGCGATAACAATTTACCTGGTTGAGTTACCAAAAACCTATCCGACATTGGAAAATAGCTAATTTATTACTCTATCGCATTTCATCTAAGACTTTTCACCGTGGATCGATCCAACACCAACCCAAAATGCGCGAAAAAATCCGTTAATAAATCTTGCCAGCTCATCCGTTTTATTTTTGGTATACTGCGAATACGCAGACCCGATATTGATTTGGTGGTAAAACCAACTATATTTTACCTTTAACTTTTAAGAATCTAATCCGATGACTCGTCATATCTTAATATTGACTACCTCAAAAGTCTTCAGCCAGTTGGCAAACCTATGTGGGCACATGACTATCTGACGGTCCGATAGATGGGAGGAGTACAAATAATTTACTCGAGTACGAGTACATATACATATGTACATAAATAGACGAAAACATTGCACCCTATTTTTATAATTACAAATTTTTTTTTAATTTTTGCATCCAGACTGCTATATAATCACACTGAAACCAGTGTATTTCAAAAATGAGCCACGCCCCCTTGCGCCCCCGCAAAAGGGCGAAAACCTAACCTTTTAAAGATAAAAGAAAACTAAAAACGCCATTCCGTAGGGAATGGCCATATCTATCAGATCACCGAATTGGGATCCGATCGGATCATTGTTATAGCCAGAATGAAGAAACTAATTTTCAGTGGCTAAATCCAACCTGTCCCGCAGCTTTTATTGTTCTTTTTACATTCTCTCATTCACACTCTACTTCTGCTTCACTCGGCCCCTGCCTCTGCCCTCAACCTGCCTCTTCCGATTTTTAACCCACCCCGTCCCGGTGCTTATATTTGTTTTTTTTTGTATGCGGTCGCTGCCTCTGCCTCTGCCGCGAGTCTGTAGTATGTGGGTCTAGGGAAGGGCGGCGAGCTAACGGAGCATGTTGGTGTGAGAAGTGTTGTAGATGTAGATGACAGATGAAGAAAAATTTTAAATTTGACAAAACATCTTTAAGGTGCAGATGTTGTCCTGAGTGTCGGGTATAAAAGTTGTGACGCGTAAAAAGCGTCTCACACGTCCCTTCTCGTTCTTCTTCCCCTTCCGCAGCAGCCCACAGGCTGTCGACAGAATTTAATTTTTGTCTTAAGGTGCAACAAAATTAGGTATTGCTGAAACAAACGTAAGTTTGTAAGATTGTAATATTGGGATTGAACCGTTTAAGCGTGTAAGAAATAGCTTAAGGAATTCTTATAGAAAACATGCAGTCAGACTGAAATTTTGATTTGACTCATTGGGACTAGTCGATACTTCGAGAAGGGACGTGTGAGACGCTTCTTACGTGTCACAACTTTTACAGGTAGATCATCTGTACCTTAGTAGTTTTACATATGTCATCTACATCTAGATCAAGACGGGCGGACAGAGGGTCAGATGGACGGACAGACAGACAAGGCTATATCGGCTCGGGTATTGGTACTGATCAAGATACACACATATATACTATATGGGGTAGGAAACGCTTCTTTCTGTAAGTTACATACATCCACTTTTGTGCACAAATACGATATACCCTATTTACTCTTCGAGAACCGGGTAGCAGATAGCAGAAAGAACAGGGAGCATAGAGTTTGTTATGAGTTGTTTCTATTTGCACACAAAAATATTTCCCATATACTACTATCAACTCAAATATTGAGATACTTCAGCGTTACCAATCAAAAACTTTGCGACACATTGTCAATGCTCCGTTTTACGTATCTAATGCAAATATCCACAAAGATCTGAATATTCCAACAATTAAAGAAGAAATAAAGAAAACTTACAATAGCTTAACAGTAAGAAGACTGAAAAGATACCACATTCTCGATATCCCTGATCGATAAATCCAACAAACTGAAAAGATGTTATATATAATAGCAGGGCTCATTGGAAAACTGCTATTTCTGTTAATTGAATATTAATTATACAACTTTCTTATTGTTTAAACAAACAGATTGTAAATATAAAGAAATAGAACAAAAAAAAACTTATCATTCCCCAGTCGGCTGACTGAAACAAAATTTCTTTATTTTGATAAACAACACGAAGAAACGAATTTTTTGAACAGTTTTTTAAACAAACTCTTAAGTTTGGTTGTGTCTAAAAGTTGTGTACTTAAAATTTAATGTATTGAAGTTATCAGACGGAATTCGAGGATTGCAAATGACTTTCAGAGCCGCAGCGGGACTCCATTTAACACGAAGACGATTTGGCCGAATATCGTGGTTGCTAACTTCACGCGTGTTGCCCACGATGGTTGACAAAAAGGAAATTCCGACCGATGGAGCAATAGGATCGATAGCAAAAAAATTGGCCCTGAGCCGTAACTTAATTTTTGGAATATCGGTGAACCGCGATTCATCGCTGGTATATTCTGCTCATCGGCACTACTCAACCTTTGAGAATAGCCATACGGAAATTCCATCAAAACTATTTCCACAAACCTCAATAGATCTTAATGATGAAAGTCGGAAGAGACAACAGCGCGAAGAGGAGGAGGAAAAGGCAGAGTTTGAGCGATCGTGGAGACGAACAAAACTGGGATTAATTGCCTTTGGTATGGGCGGTTTGCTGTTATCATTTTGGGCCATATATTTTTTTGGACAGCCAACACTGGACGAGCAGGGAATCGAGGCTGATGATGAGTTTAGCGAATTGCCGCCATTGCAACAATATATCGGACGATCCTGGAGGTAGGTGAACAAGTTTACGAAGTTTATTCGAAAGCATTCGAGTCAGAAATTACTTCCAGATTACTTGCAGCCGCCATATACCTTGGCACTCGAAGTTAAGGACGTCCTAATACATCCTGATTGGACATATAAAACAGGCTGGCGCTTCAAGAAGCGCCCTGCCGTTGACTTGTTTTTGAAGGAATGTGCCAAACACTTTGAGATCGTGTCTACACGGCGGAAGAAGGAGTGACTGTATTTCCTCTCCTCGACGCCCTCGACACACTTTGTTGATGGCCACCACATTAAGAATCTGGACAATCTGAGCCGCGATCTGAAGCGTGAGGTAGTCGTCGACTGGGACAAGAACTCAACGAAGATGCATCCGAGAAACATATTTTCGATACCCCGATGGTTGGGAAACGATGATGACACGACACTGTTTGGTCTGGTGTCGTTTCTGAGTGTTCTCGGCATCAGTGAAACCGAGGATGTTCGTGAGCCGCTGCATTACTATAGTCAGTTAGAAGACCCCGTTGTCAAGTTCCGTGAAAACCAGCAAAGACTCAGTGACGAAATGTTCTCCGAAGAGTTGGAAAAGTCAAACAAATTACAGCCGCTGGTTAAAAATTGGACTCGCTGGTTTCTCAATAATTAAATATTTGGTTTTAACATCCCCTTTTCTATGTTGTTTAATTTAATACATATTTTCTGTTCCACTATTTTATGCAAAAGTGATACAATTGATAAATGATTTATCTTATCTTAAAAGGCAAATTGAGAAATCTTACGTGGGAGACAGTCCAACGGGTTGGCGAGAGTAACTTCAACAATGTACATACATATGTACATGTGCATATATGTACATAAATGTTTGCTGCGAATCTTGTAGATTGATGTATCTCAATCCTTGCATACGCTCCTTAATGAAGACTACACAAAAATTGCTTGGGAGTATACGGATTGTGTCTTGGGGTTTCTTTCTCTAACTGATTGTGACAGTGACAGATTTCGGGCACATACATACATATTAATGTACACATGGATCTGATTGTGTGTTCAAAACTGTCCGTGCGTGTCCGTCTCTGGGACATATTGAAGCTTCGGTAGCAATTTAAAAATGTTTCTTGAACTTGGATTGGGACTCTTAGAAGCAAGCAACACTCAATTGATACATTTAGTGGCAGTGGCGGATACACTGTTGTTGGATGATAAGACATAGATATGAATATGGTAGTAGGATGCATTAGCAATGCAGGACGCAGGAGTATTCAGCCTGGAAAACAAAAACAGCACACAAAGCTAGCAACATGCTACCGCCCAGCGATTGTGTGCGCGAACACGTGTCAAAACAAGCGAAAGGTTTGGCACAGATAGATATTTACAAATGTATGTACATAGTACATATGTATGTATACGTATTTCCACAATCAACAACTACCCTGCAGGAGACACTCCACTAGGTGAGTCCTGCGCAATACTATTAGGAGTAGCATGTTGAGCAACAACTGTAAAGACGTTATGCCCAATATGTTGCCGATATCTATGTAGGTGCAAATATATATTCAGACCGGGATTAGGCTTTTGCTGTTAGGAGTAGCATGTTGAGCAACAACTGTAAAGACGTTATGCCCAATTCGTTGCCTATATCTATGTAGGTGCCAATACATATTCAGACCGGGATTAGGCTTTTGCTGCGCACGAAGCCCGAGACGAAGCCCAGCAAGGGAAAGAATGGGTTTTGTTACATTATTGAAGAGCTTAACAATTAGAGCTTAAACATCTACGCATATTTACATACGCAGAAAGGCATTTACAAACGTAAGGCCTCAACAAGTAAGGTCATACAATATAGTCTTCATAAGTATCATACAGTGTAGTGGCATAAAGCATGGGTACCATGCTGCGGAAGTGCGTGGAAATGTCAAAACCAGGAAAAGTTTGACGCATGCGTGGGGATCTCTTGCCATGTCGTTGTCTCACACGCTCTCCCTCGAACCATGCAAACGTCAAGAAGGAACATGATGCTGAGCATCGTGGTGAGGCGTTGCAAGTACAGTTTGGAAAAGGGTGGCAGAGCGGCAACGGCAACAACATTCTCACTTGCCAGCCAAAACTGCTGGAATTGTGAACTCAGACCAATTTAGTTCGGTTTTGACATAACGGACAGAACGTTTGTGAGTTGTGTTGTGCCTTGGATGTGCGGAAGGCGTACCCACGGCACACAAAACGTATGACAGTGTATGTACACATATATTCAGATACATATGTATATGTTTGTGTATCAGTAACAAAATAAGATAAATGTATCAAGTATTTATTAACTTTGACAGCTCAGGGCCATAATTGGCCCTGAATTTGTCTTTGAATTGTTAAAGCTCTACATTATTCCACTTCTGTCACCTCTTCCAATTAAAGCTGAGGTAAACTCCTTCTTTATTAGCCCCAGTGCTTGAACGGCTTTAGTGTTCTTGTGAGTTTTGTGTGGAAGCTTGTGTTAGAGATTAATTGCTGAAACCAATCCCATCCAACGAAAACCACTATCGACAAATAAGTTGAATCAGATGCGGGGACTTATGGAAACAGATAATTTGTACATATGTGCTCGCTATAACCCATGCGAAGAATCCGTTCAGGTTTAATCGCATCCTGCCACTGCCACACCCTAAATATATAATCAGCTTCAAGTTCAATGGGAAACTCTACCAACAGCATTGCAATAATACGCTAAAAAGTTGCCGTTCTGCGTTACCTTTTTCTGCATTATAGCTTTGGAGAAGTGGAAAAGATGTTAACAGCTGAGAGAGCTCATTACTTTAGTCACTTGTATAGTTTAGTAAAGGAAATATTAGACAGCTTCTGGAAGAATGCAACTTATAACTATTTACCAAATATCATCATTCGCTTCAGCTAATCCTGTGCGAGAGCTACACCTAATCACATCATTCTGTGCATAGTATATGAAGAATGACAACCGAGACCTATTTGGACTTGACTTATGAGCGAGGGAAGGGGGCGAAGAGACCTCCTCGACCAAAGCTTTTGAAGTTAACGGATGTCTCAATACCGCATCGCAGTCGCAAGAAGAGCAAAGTTAAGGTGAGTGGTAGTCAGTCGTTTTAGTGGTGTATGATCCTGGCATTTTTCTTTACAATTTATTAGCAAACAAAGGACCGCTCAGCCACATTAGTCCGGGAAAGAATCTACGATGATCCCGCGTATACCGAGGACATAAGCCATTTGGCAAATCCCATTCGGCGTGGCAGTGTTCCTGGAAACCACTCGGCAGAGCAAAAGTCAAAGTGCGACATTCCTGGGCAGACTGCATCGACACGCAGTCTGCTGAGCAAACACCAGTTACCCAAAGAGTTCCATCAGTATGTTTCGGCCAATCAAAGTAAGTACAAGGGCGCCAACAGTGCGCCCACTGGGAGTACCGCCGTGAACGTCAATTATGACTGTGGTTCAAGTAGCTCCGACAATGAGACGATGGAACCAGCCAAAGCCAGTTGCATGACTCGTCGCGTACGCAGCTTAGAGCGAAGTTTAGCAATTGAAAGAAGTGACAAGAAAGGAACGCAAAAGCGCAACTCCAAGCAAAAGCGGAATCTCAGTCTTGACAACAGTCGATATTTGCTTCCAGGCCACCCCCAACATTCGGCACTGGTCAGCAAGCAGAGCCACGATTTTGAGGACCAGGCTCCCAGTAGAAAGAAGTATAATGAAAGCAGTGTCGAGGCTGTCCAGACGGAAGCCAGCTTATTAGACGATGTGGAGACAGCTGCCGAGGCAGCGGCAAAGGTTGCAATCGGCAAACGATTCCTGCGTGGTGAAATTGGAATCAAAAGTTTTAATTACTATCTGCTCAAGGAGGGCTTAAAGAGCTCAAAAAATATGGTAACGAAGCAACGCAACACATTGTACAGTGGAGAACCAGATGCCAAATTCGAGAAAATGCCCACACGAAGCGAAGAGAATATTTATGAGGAGATTTTCTTTAAAGATACACTTGGAACTGTCACCACTTCAATTACAGAATTGGCAACCTCATCGGCGAATCCACAACCACCTGACAAAGAGGCTCTACAACAGGTTCAAAAAGGTGGGCCAAAGGCGCCACCTCACATAATGAGTGGGCCCAGTGAGGGAAGTGCCGTTGGGGTCTTTGCGGACTGTGAACTCTGCATGGAACAGTGTAGCAGGGACAACTGTGAGTATTGTTTGGCACATGCGGTGCAAGGGGTAGGGAAAAGGCATTCCCAGCAGCCAAAGGAGACCTCTCAACAGGAGCCGCTCATTAATCAGGCGTACCACAACGAAAACAACGATTCAATATGCTCATCGTCACGGGTCGGGCTTCCCGCTGCCCATATTCTGGAGTTCCAGTCGTACAACCCCAATAATCCCGGCGTTTACAAAATCGAAACGACACCTGTAGCCATAACGGGAGACTATAATCCGATATTGCAGTTCCAGCAATCGTCGGCCACAACATCGACTTCAACAACTACAACGCCCAGCGACCAGCAGCAGCCACAACAACAGCAGCAGCAGCACATTCAGCCGCATCAGTTGCAGAAACCAATCTACGGCGGCTATCATCATCCACAGTCACACCAGAAGCCCTACCATACAACAATCGTTGGCAATCCGCTTACAAGTCAGTACGGAATTGGTGGCAGTCTTCTGCTGGAGCCAGTTGCGGGATCTGCAGCTGAGCAAGGATCGACCACGCCTCGTCGACCAAAGCAGCAGCAGTACATCTTCAGCTATCAGAATGGAGGGTCAGTCGCAGGAGGAGCTTCCATGCAACTCTTGAACACAAAATCCTCCTCCTCAAGCGACTCCCTTACCCAGCACAAGTACAACACAAAGACGCGCTTGGAAGCAAATGTTTTTACCGCGCCAAATACAGGAGATCTATATTATGCAGTCGGCGGGACGGCTCCTCTTCATCCTTTAATGTATGCTGCCAGTCGCCCCATCGGTGGCTCCCAGATACTGGTCGACCCATACGATCCTCCGCAGATGTACAAAAGCGACTCGAAGGCCTCCATTCTGAGCGAGTTTTCGCTTCGTAGTAGCGACAACTCGCAGCGCTATGTACGGTACGGACCCCACCGGCGGCATGGCGGCGGTCGGGTGAGCGATGCAAGTATCTTTTCAATATACTCAAATTCTGGTCAGAGGAGATACTTCGGGAGCTCAGAGAGTCGGTTTGGATACGATTGCCGACGTTGTAGCTTGGACGGAATTATTGGAATGGGATCGGGAACTGCTATGGGTGCCACTAAAGTACCCCCCGATAAATGTAGCTATTCTGACAACTGTCGATACGAGTGCAGGAATTGCGATTGTTCTTCCAATTACTTCAGCTCCGATTTTGACGACATGTATGGGTCTATAGCTCGAGGTGGAAGCAGTGGCATACCTCGCAAAACGGCCGCAGGTACATTGCCGTCCACTTTCCAGGACGATAGCACGGATCTGAAGGAAAAATCTCAAACGCCGCCGTCCTTGCTACAACAGCAGTTCTCTGCTCCGCTGGACCTCAAACAAAATAAATACGCGCAGGACTTTTTCAAACACGTAAATGACGTGAAGCGAAGCATTTATCAGTCTGAAATGCAAAGGAACAATAGTCTGGAGTCTTCCAGACGGGGACCCAGGGCCGGAGGAAATAACACCAATTCAAGATCAAGCCCCAAACGTGCTGTCTCCCAAGAACCCACGGAACCAGTTGTTACTACGCTGCCATTGAGCAGGGGTCGTCCGGCTGCAGGAGTCAGGCCTACACCTGCGCCTCGTACAAGTGTACAGTCGCAGCTTGTACTGCCGGCCACATTCATGCCCAGTGAGTGTCCAAAATATATTTTCTAACCCTGATTCTAAGATAATAATAAATTGCATTCATCAGGAGACCCTACACCAACAAAGCGAAGGTCCCAACCCAGTGGGCGTCGTGAGTTTCCTTCGCTGGACCGACTCGTAGCCTCTAACACGGGAACGATACCTAAAAGGCACAGCAGGACAATGGCGGGAAGCGAGTCGCTAAGCCCGAAATTTACATCTAAGCCCAAGGGATTCGATGCAAAGGACTCTTGGACAGGGAACAATGCTGAAGAACAGTTTACGCCGGGTAAGAGACACCATCGTACGAGCAGCACAAAATCGCATCAAAACGTACCTGGCCCTGTTACCCGACGAAAAGACATTCCGGCCCCTCCTCCACCGTCCCCGGCAACTTACTCCGATCTGCAAGAGCTTAAAGCGAATATGGAAGGTCTTCAGGATGACACAAATTCACGAAGTCTCGAAAGTGAAACTAGCGAATCGCCAGCAGTGCCAAGCCCAAGCGTCAGGTCACTCACGGGATCCCACAATGAGAAGAAAACAAGGGAGTTGGCAGAAGCTCCATTAAAAATTACAATCGCCCTAACGGATATGAATATACCAGCAGAATTTTGTTCTACAGTATCAGTATTAGGCCATCCAGATGTAGGTCCTGATATAGGTTCAGTAGAACAGGAAGATAACGATGTGTTTTACGATGCCCGCAGCGAGGATTCTGGTGCAGGCAGCCTACCGTCTGAAGTCTGCTTGCCACAAAGTAAGGTAAGACAAATCAAACTCTCACAAGTACCCACATCATATTTACATTCCTCATTTACATTTAAGGGATAGATCTCCCATCGGGAGATCTCTTTCTCTCCAATTTAAGTTATTGTCTACCTTTACATTGAGTAACCGACATAATTGAATTGAGTAAATAAGGATGAACAAGATTTAAATTAAATGATATTTCTGTAGGGCGCGTTCGGTTTGGTGGCATGCTCACAGGAGGCAGCATGCGGGAAAGGCAGCAAGGAAACAATTTACAGCGAAAGGGATGTCAATACTTTGCCCCACACTGACCCTATCGCAGGGGGCCCTGAACCGTCAAACATCTCGGACACACAAGGGAATGACATTGGTATTGCCAGCGACGATGCTAAGTCCAAAAAACAAGGGAGAGGCACAGTTGAAGAACAAATCACACCCCATGATGTTGAGAAGCTAGTAGGCATGGACACGTGCCTTCAAACCAATCATTGGCGGACCGAGTCGGAGATTACAGACGCAACATTGAGGGGGGGAAAGCACGAGGAAAAGTCAAGCAAAACAAGAGACGATGAAAAAACCCAAACGAGCGCCATTGAACAACATGCTGCAGCAACATGTTTGGAGGAGAAACAGACCAGTTTACCAGCACTCGACTCTAACGACGCCCCTGTCAGCACCAGCGCCAGAGCCAACGCCACCGATGTGGATGTCGATGTCGATTTCGAGTTTAGTTGCACGACGGGCAACACGGACAGCGCAGCGCTAACGCACAGGTACGCGACTCCATTTACGACCCCGCAACCGAAAATGTATAGCTTGTATTTTAAAAGAACTTGAACTTTAATCTGAACGTATGAAAAAATTCTATATGCATAAGTTGACAAAGACAAATAACACTCGTTGTTCTCCAAGTGTTTCGTTTCGTTGATTCCGCGGTACGGAAAGTGTGTCTAACGTTTACAACATTGACTAGCTTATAAAATATAAGTGAATTCAATGTCAATTGCAAATGATCAATACCTTTGTGTGCAATTTCCAAGTGGTCTAATTAGAATGTGCTTTTATTTCCATTTCCTGAGAGTGAAATTCTATGCGCAGCAGCTGTTGAGAGTTCCCAATTTGGCTGCATTCTGCCTTAATCGTACGTTGTGCTATCTCCCTATCCCCCTTGTCTGAACTTTGTTTTCAATGGAACAGCAAAAGCGCCGAGTGCCTGGGACAGGTGATACTGCAGCGATGCAGCTTGTTCCTAAGCACAATTTTTGATTGAGCAGCGTATGGTTAAGATAATCTTTTTCTGAGCCACTGGCAAAAAAGCTGCATTGAGTATCTATACATACATATGTGTGTGCAATTTCCACATATGTATGTATGTACATAGTACATTTAAACTGGTTATTTTTTTATTCTTTGAGTTCGTTTGGTTTTCCGTAATGGAATAAGGGAAACATGTTTGATTAAACCGTCACCTAGTTGAGAAAATATTGTTATGAAATATAAAAAAAGAAATGTGAATCAAAGAATTTCCCAACCGATCTCCTACAATATATGTAAATGAGTAATTGGGACATATTATACACTCTTAAGTGTGCACCAGAAAGACAGTCCTCATTCATTAATAAGTTTGTACCAACGATCAATGAGGCTAAGGTTGAATGAAGATCTAGAAGAAATCTATCGATAGCGAAAGGTGTTAATGTGAACTCAACGACTTAGCCCGTAAGTCGGCCAAATTTAGATATATTTTAGTTAAAAGACATCATATTCAATATCAAATTAAATCGAGCATACACATTAGACTATGTGACCTCCTGACAACAGAAAATTCTGTAAGTAAACGCTCAGAAAAGTAGGCAAGCTTTTTATTTTAATTCAGGGTACTTCATGTCTGCCTCGAGTTTGTTGGCCGTGCTATCATTTTCTTTAAAACTACCGCACCGTTAAGTTTGTCCTTGGTCAGTTTTAAAACCGTGGATCTGGTAGTACATAAGGTAGGCCATAAGGTCACAAGCGTAGAATCACGTGAATACTGTGATGGATTTCACCGTGACACATGGGCATACATTTATTTTATTGCATCAATTTGTTGCTTGTTCTTGACAAACCAACCGACCTTCTGTGTGAGGCTAAGTACTACGGGTACGTTTCCTTCTTCAATACAATTTTGGGCAATCAATAATATTGCGGAAAAAGCTTCCTGCCAACGCATACTCATACTCAAACATGGCGCATAATACAAGAGCTCCAGCATACATAAATCAATTTTGTCTTTTGTTTCGTTTTTCTGTATGGGTATTCAATCATTTACCTATGTATTTACAAATATTCGTATGTATGTACATACATACTTATGCTTACACCCTATACGTGTAGCATATTCTATATATGTACATACATAAATACATATGTACATGCATGCATACAAACATATACAAAGAGGCGCGCTTTAACGAAATTTATGGTAGCCTGTGCCCCCGCAGAATATAATAATTTTTATGTCATCGATGTTTTACTGGTTCTGGTCGCATAAGTTAAAAAAACGTTTGGTAAAAACACAAAACATTTGTTAAGATCCGCACCATTGTTAAAAGAATATATTTTTCACAATGTCATACAGTAGCTTCTGGCCAAAAAAGGAGCTCCGATAAGTAAAAAGATAATTGGAAATCGAGGCAACCTTCAAAACCTTCAAGACATTGCTGCAAAAAATATAAAAAATGTTGGGTGGCATTTTGCAATTCAATTGTTACAAATTGCCTACGAGTGAGCGTACGAGTACAAGCTACCATTACCATTCGATGGTTTGATGATAATGAATGCGATCATAATGAGCTGCTGGCTGGCTGGCCTGGCCACTTACAAATATGGTAAAGAAAATGTGAAACTTGTTTTCTACGGTGGTAACTTCATTTGGTCATTGGCTTCCAGTCAATGCCGTTGCCGTTGCAATTGCAGTTGTGTTGGCAGCTTGAGCTTGCAGCGATCAGAGTTACCACATCACACAGCTTCGAAGAAGCAGCTTCTGAGCTAGTAAAATAACTATTCGCAGTCGAAAGTGCAAGTTGACCAACTGGCGTATGCAAGTGAATGCAACCGATTAACTAGTACCCGTCCTCGCCCTCGTCCTCGTCATCGTCTTGCTCTGCTAAAGTCAACAAGTGTGGCTACAAAATATTTGAAAACCAGTTTTATGAAGCTCATCATGCCTCAGACGCAAGCACAATATATGGAGGAGTTTATTAGTAGCTTTGTTTGCCATGTCCAAGCGGGCAAGTCTTGCGTTTCATTTCATGAATTGAGAGAAAAGCTGGGTAATATTCGTTATTTCGTTTTTATTTTGGCATCTTGATGAATAATTTTGATTGACAGACTTAAGCACACTTATTAAGTTCCATAAGCATCACTTAGAGTTTTCTTTTCTCTACTCGCAATAGTCTGCGGTAGTCTTCGAATGTTTTTAATCACGCTAAAAGTAACTCGCAAGCTTTCACTGGACACTGTGTAGCTAAAAGGAGTGGAAATACTTTCAACATTAAATGATAGACACACGAGTAGAGTCGTGATGATACAAAAATGCATGCATTCACTTTGATGGAAAAAAAGTTAGATAGGCGCTTTTATCGGTCCACCAATCACATAGAATGGTTTAAATTATTTGTATGTACATTGTGTACATACGTATGTAAATATGTATGTATATATGTATGTACATTTGTATGTATGTATGTATGCTCGTCTCAAAATCCCAGCAAATGTATTTAATGGCTGATCGAGTTTTAATTACTAAATGATGAAAGTGTGGTAATTTAAATAATTGAAAATGTGTATCTTTACAAGCGCACGTGCGTGCATATTTAATGGAAAAATTACGAGTGCACACACGAAGAAATTAGCAGAGGAAAAGCTTCAAGAAATAAAAACCTACCTTAAAACGCGTTTATGTCTGCGCATGTGAGTGACAATATATGCAACATTACTCGACAAAACAAACTTTTTTTTCCTAACCAAACCAACTTTTTCTGAAAGATTTTTGGCATTAACATTTTTTTAGTTAATTACGATTGTTTTCTGTTGCTGAACTTTTTTTTAAGAATTTTTAAAAACCTTTTTTTTGGCTTTTACCAAAGGTTGCGGTCCGTTTTTTTCACATAACTATCTTAGGACTGGGTTTAAAGATTATTACCATTCTAAAAATCCAATTGATGCAGCTACAGGCTGGAAAAATAATGGAAACTGGAAAAATGTGTTTCTGGCTTTAGAGCTCAAAAAATACTGAAACAAAAATTAAAAACAAAAAAACCTAAACTATGTCGGTGTTTAACGAAAAATCGAGAGTTTGGAGTGTTGGTCAACAAATTAACAAAGTTAGCCGACTCTACAAAGATTTTAATGAGAAATACTTTAAACCTACTAAAAACTTGGGATACATTTTTTTTCGACTTTTCCTAAGTTTTTAAAGTAACATTTTGTGTAAATTATCGCACTGAAATTATTTCTTTTATATTTGAAATTCAAATATTTACCAAACGGTAAGATAAAACCACAAAGTTTTTAGGTTCAATTTATAGATGTGTTTATTAGCTTTTTAGAATGACTAGGTTCATTGCAACCAGAAGTCAGATACTTTAGTTATGGGAAAAAAGAGAAGCGCTACCTATAAAAAAAGCCTTACATAAAACAAGTTTTTAAAAAATCATCCAAAAATGCCTTTTTCTTTCAGACAAAGTTGGTTACTAACTAGCGTTACACTTAAACGTAAAGGCACAAAACACACACTCGTACATATACATACATACATACATATATACTACATCTGAATGTACATACATATGCATGATATACGGACATACACTCTCACTTGTGCGTATTGAGAGTGAGTTGCGCTCACTTCCGGCAATACCCTTCCACTTACACATAAATATCTATTTGTACATGGGAAGTATAGTAGTACATGTATGTATATCTTAATACTCAGAGCAGAGAGATTATGGCTAGCACTCACCCACGGCAGATAGAATCAATGCTGTGATTGCCTCATTGTTTGACGAATATTATTGCCTTGCACTGTTAACGAATTCTCTCCTTGCCATTATGTCTGGAAAGCTTTCAGTAAAAAAAAGACCTGAGAAGCTACAAATTGGCTAAAAGTTATGACGCCTACACATACCAAAAGAGGCAACGAACCTAATAGCTTTTCTTTTTGTTGTTGTTGTTGGGTGCTGCTCATTTTGGAGGGACAACTTTTACGAATGATTAGATTCGCATGCTATAAACAGCAATGCTGGGCTCACAAGGTGTATTGCTGCCTTTTAAGTTGTCGCATATTTTTTTCTTATTGTATACTCGCCTGTTAGACGTCTAGTTCACTTGAAAATTTAAACACAACATCAAAGATATACATGTGCATACATACATATGTTCATATGTTTCCCCCGTCAACCAAACAAAAAGTGGGAGGAGTGTGAAAAGACGACTATAACAGCGGAGAACACAAGAGTCCAAGAGGTGAAGACGCTTCCGGATTTGTCAGTCTCAAGCTCTTAAAATGAGTTCGCGTTCAGGCCTCGTGCTCGTTACGTTCTCATGGCCTCAGTTGCCTGTCTCTTTTTTTTTCTCTCAGCCCCAACAGATACTAAACTGTCATTGACACTTCACTTCTTCACACGTCCATATTTACATGCTTGTATGTAAATTGTTCAGACGCGTTGGCCAAATTCGAAGTCAAGCTGTGCAGCTAATCTAAACGTTTAATACAACCCACTTGCATTTTTTAATCGAAGCATATATGTGTACGTTAAATATGTTCATATGTAGCAGATAAAAACATTTATGGAAATATTTATATATGTATCTAAACACATACATATGTATTTCTCTCTGAAGAACAGATCACCACGCGCTGTCGTCTTACAAATGTGCTCAAACTTTTTTAGCCACATTTCCCCCCACATATTTTCTTGCCTCTAACTTTTGTAGTTCAGGGTCAAGTTCAAAGGCGTGTGAAATATTGAGCAGCTATTAATTAATAAAATTTTCGTAGTTTTTCGCTGGAAAGATCCATACACATAAAGTCAAAGCATTTCACATTCTCTCGACCCACATATTTGGCTATGTTGTCCACCATCCACCATCCAGTGTCCCCAACCTCAGCCCTCGAACAGTTTATTGTCAGACCCCAGCAGTGGCAGCCACAAGGCAAAGCACTTAGAGCTGGCAGAACTGCAAAAGTGCTGCCGCTTTCAGCTGTTACGTATGCATACTGGAACATACATACATACATATGTATGTAAGTATTTATGTGTGTATGTAGACGTCAATGAATTAAAGCGAGTGTTGAATCATGCTCCCGGACATTGAAGTGGTGTTCGAGCACGAGGACGGGTCCGAAATTATGCCGGCTACGTCTATCTTAGCTATTTTGCTTGACGGGCTTTAAATACTTCCACATTTTCGTTGAATTGGAAGGCTATTTATAAACATAAATATTTAGAACAAATTAATTCTACAATGCAACCATACAAAAACGGAACTCATCTTTCTTTAAGTGATCGGACCGTCGATATACCTGTAGTTGTGACAACCGCAGGGATTCCAGCACCGTCCCGAACACTGACTCGTCAGGACTACGCCTGTCTCGACTCCAGTGAGGCCCAATCGGACGATAGTCATTTGACACGAGATTCCGTAACGCGCGAGTCCCAGAACGATGAACTCTCCTCGTCCACCCTTGAAAAACTAGACGTTAGCACACTACCACTGCCCGCTCTACCGAAGCGCCGTCGGCCCCGATCCCGCACCAGTCCCTCCAAGAATTTGCTGCATCGGCAGCGTCATGAAGCTATCGACAATGCTAATGCAAACGAAACTTCGACAGCATCGTCACGACAGCAACATCTTAAGCCAAGACAGCGCGTCGATACTCCAGAGAAACAAAAGTCAGAGATAAGCCAAACGCCAAACCCAGCCCCTCAAAAGCAGCACCTCTCCGCTTCCCAGCAATACGTCGCCAAGCGACGAGAAAGTCTTGAGGCATCTAACCGCAGCTTCAACGAAAAGCTAGAGGCCCGTAGAATGCACAACCAAATAGGTGGGGGAAATGCCGCCAATGTGACAACTGGTGCCAACAACGGAGTGCCCACCTATCTGTTTGGGGACCAATTTCAAGCATTAGGCGGCGGCGGTCCCAGCTCTGGGCGCAAATCTCTCTCGCCTGCCACCAACAAGGAGGAAATTTATCTGAACAAGTCTGGCTGGGTACAGGTAAACACAAAGCGTGGTGGCTTCAAAGAGGACAGTTGTAGCGGCTTTCGACGTCAGCAGAACGATGGCACAGCCAGAAGTAGAGCTGCAGGCCGCGTTATTCCAATGGACGCGCAAGGACATCGGACAGACCTGGCACACTACTCATTTATATACCAGCACCAACAGCAAAAATCGAACGTCGGCATCGCAGAGCCAAAGTTTGTTGGCTCCAAAGTTGAAGAGTTGATACAGCGAAACGAGGCGCGGCTTGGCGGATTCTCCTCACGTGATCCTGCACTGCGACCGGGCTACCGAATTATCGACCCGCAACTGGCAAGCATACTCAATGAGCGTCCTGGCTTCCTGCCTGTCAAGAGCCCAAACGACTTGGACTCGCCTATCACTCCCATTTTGTCGCCGCCACCCGCTTTCCAGGACAACAGCCGCACCACGCGTCAGATGGATCGGCGTAACTCAAGTCGCCAGCAAGCTCCTCTCCCACTTCCTGTGCTGCAGTCTGAAGCGCGACAAAGCCCACAGCATATGGCCAATGGATCCGTCAAGGGCATGGTCTTTTCACGAAGCTTTGAGTACGATACGCGACGACCAACCCCCACCAACAGCTATGTGGAAACGTTCTCTCGAAGCTTTGATGGACATCTTTCAGAGCTTCCACTACACCTGGGTATGCCCCCTCTGGCAGGACAGCACGAACGCTCCCCGAATTTCAGCACACTAACCGGAAACTCGCCCAACTATTTAACGAAGCGGGAGAGTGGTGGCGGCAGCAGTGGCTCCCTCCGTAGTCGGGACAGCTCGCCAAAATTTCTAAGTCCCCAAACGACCACTGCGTATCTGAACGCGTCGGTGAAGGAGGCGCCACCGGCCTACAGCATGTCTGGTAGCGGCGCCGCCGCCACAGGCACACAGGAAAAATACTCTCCGCGCTCGCGTCACGAACGCTCCTCTGAGCGATCCAAGATCCATGCCTTGGGGCGCTCGCGTAAGTCCCAGTTCAACCGCATGGGAAGCGCAGGCCCTCCTGCAGCGCCACCTTCCTCTCTAGGCATGGGTGCCTCGCGCTTTCGCAGCTTCGACACAACAAAAAGCCAGCGCCTCAACTCATGCGACAGTGGTGCCCGATCGGGTGAGTACTTTCCAAATGTAATCTTGCCATTGATATCTACCATATACTCTAAATTAACTGATGTGAACCCGTCTTGACTATTGCCAGATCTTTCCAATGATGAATTGGATAACGAGGATGGGGGTTTAAGCGAGTTCCTATCGGCTGGAAGCCAGAAGTTTCCGAAACCGTGTTCGAGCAGTGTCAGTATCTCACCCTTTAAGATGCAGCGGCAGCGGTCACTGACGCCAGACCGGAATGAGTCCCACAGCTCATCCAGCAGCCTGCGCAAACAGCGATCGCTGACACCAGAATCGCGATCCTTGACACCTGAGGAGCGCCGAAAGAAGGGATCACAGCTTTCCCTATTGGGCTCACGCCAGAACTCCGGCTCCAGGAACAACACACTGGAGGCACGTCAGCGTCACGGCGAGAAAACGTCGCCCAACATCTCCCGCAGCTCTTCCAGTTCCAGCTACAGTGGCGGAGATTCTCATGATTGCCTTAACGCTAGCACCTGCTCAATCGTGGCAGGCGGATTGCCGTGCCCCATTCCTGGATCTGGTCCGACCAACCACCGTCGAGATATAGCTGCTGCCCAAAGTGCAGCCAAGCAAGCAGAACAAGAGCACCGCATTAGACGGTCAAGGTAAGTGAAGCAAAGAAGTTATTTAATGAATCATGTTGATCTGCTCACCGAACCTATTTGTGCAGATCATTACAACTGAGCGAACGTTCCCCGAATCGAGTGCACAAATCAATCGTCAATGTATGTGCCGTGTCCGCACAGCAGCCGCAGCTACAGCCAAAACAACCGCCAACGCCCTCTTATCAACAGCCTCGTCTGGGCGTTCGTGCAGTTTTTCCTCCTACAGTTCGCACGCCCCCAGCCGCTAACAAAATACCTGCTCCCTTGTCGGCGTCGTCCAGAAATACGACAAGGCCAGGGAAGAATGAGGCGGATAAGGCACGGTCCTTCGACTTTGACTACAATAACTTTAATCGCAGCGGCGGATCAAAAGCTAAGTCACCACGATCCATTCACACGAGTGGCAGTGGAGGGGACAGTGGAGGCAACCAGAATCAGCGAATAGAGCGGGAAACGCGCTCCTTCGACGAAGAATATCGTGAAGCAGTTCTCAATAATAACAATGGAAGCAGTGGAAGCATAAGCGGAGTTCGTTATCTACAGCCTGCCGCTGATTCCGGCCTTGTTCCAACAGGCTCCTCCTCGACTTCTCGTCTACGGCAATCGAGCTCACCCGTCAACGGATCTGGCGTTGAGTATACTGCTTCGCGGTCACCCCAATCTTCGGGCTCCTCTTCCAATATTCTCCACCAGCCAACGCGAAAAACAGGCAGCCCTCAGAGCTATGGAACGCGGCTCTGCGATCATGAGCTTACGTTCGAAATGCTTCGCAAATCGCCGATCATGAACTTCCGCCGCGGGGACAGCAGTGACTTTGAGCTGCCTGTCCTGCTCAGAAACAGGGAAACCATTAACTCTGGCGGCAACAGCGAGTTAAATTTCATGAGCAACGAGACGCGGATCTACGAGCACCCGACGACAGTGCTAAAACCTCAGCGGTCCCTCCGTCAAAGTCCAGGATCGCGGGATGACTTACCTCTAGAGGTAGCAGTGGGCGTGGGGGGAGACTATATTTATAGACCGGCGCCCTCACAACCGCGCAGCAGCAGGTACTAAATTACTCCAAGGATGATGCATCAGCATCCATATTACTAGCAACAAACCCCGCTAACTCTATTTATAACTAACTTTCAAAGTACGAAGCACCAGACTGAACCTAACGGCCCAAACGATTTATAAAACATATATCCCGAAAAAGTGGCAGTGTATGATTAAAAGACTGCTTGTGCTTACTAACTGATCTTCATACAAGTACTAACTGAATTGATATATTTTTGTGGTGACAGCCTCTATACTAACTAAGACTTTTGGAGCACGCACACTACTACTTATAGGAAAATTAAAAGAGAATACTAAAATAGAGACAAAATGTAATGGACATTCCACAAAGATCAGCCCAAAAATCCATGAGATCATTCGCATTAAGACGGAATGAGGGCAACAGCAAGATGTAGTACCATAAGGAAGGACCAAAACTAGCAACGGATAGGATCTGATGAATTTAATCTAAATAACCATGTTATAAACGATTTTTAGCGCCTCCTCCCAGTCTAACGAGTCAACGACCACCAAAAGCTTTAGCAAAACTCTGACCACATGCGACTATTGGCCACGGTGCGGTGCTTGTCAGTACTCCCTTCCAGTGGTTACAACACTGAACCAAGAGCCTGAATTGAAGCCCCACATCACAACAGTGGCTGTTAATATTCCCAACGTGGAAACGAAGGCGGAAAAGCTCAGGCCATGTGTGGAAAAATCCATCATTCCGCAGTGGACTTTTTTGTGCAGCGGCGTAGCCGACTGCCGTCCACAGGAGCATTCAACGATGACGACCAACGATAATGAGCGCCGACAACTGATGGCTGTTGTAAGACCACGTGTTGTTCCTTCGGCCTCCACATCACTCTTCCTGCTGGGCGAAGGCAATCTTTGCCTTGCGAATGCTGCGGAAAGCGAGAATGAAGCCTGTCCACAGGTGCTGGCGGCCGCGGAGATTGGGCTGAGGTGAGTGTTTTCCTTCAAATTTTGTATATGTCCGATTGGAAATTCGTTTTTCCCCACTTTACTAATGGCCTGAAATAGCCAAGCCATTAGCCACGACATGACAGGCACGATCAAAGTCTGTGCCAAAGTATCATTGAAAATGACGGATAGCAATAAATAAGTGTCGACTGCGTAAAGCGATTGAATAATGTCAATAATAATGGGTCTTCAATGTAATATTTCCCCTTACAGAAACCTACAGGACGAGCATGAATTCACAGAGGTGAACAAGAAGTGTCGTTGGCGGGAGCGCAGCTTATCTCTGCCAAGCCCAACAATTCAGAGATATTTGGAAACAGAAGAAAGGTAAGCTTCCTGTCAGTCTAAAGGGGAATGGATAGTAGAGTGGGTCGGTAATTGATGTTTTCCGATGTTAACGATTCCGATGTTTTCAAAGTGGTCACATTCCAACAGGGTTTCCAATTCGCAATTTTTAAACCCGGTACTCGTGGAGTGTATTTGTGCTCGAAAGTGGCTGCATGTAACGCACAGAAGGATTTCCGATTTCCCATAAAGTATATGTAGATCTACTTGCTCAGCATCAATAGAAGAGTCGATGGTTTTGAGAGTCTGGGGCGTGTTGGCGGGGGAAGTGAAGTATGTAGATGTAGATGACATGTGAAGAAAAATATAAAATTCGAAAAAACCTCTGAGGTACATACATATGTATGTACATATATACTGACTGAGTACCGGGCATAAAAGCTGCAACGCGTCTCACAAATGTCCCTACTCTTTTTTTTATCGGGATAACATTTTGTAACCGCCTCCAATACTTCGACAGGAAGGTAAATGGGCCGAGCAAAGTCTGTGCCTCCGCTCAATAGGAAAAGAAATAAAGAGGAAGTGGAGCCATGCCCATGCTTTGATGCAGAGTTCAGAGTTCAGTGACATACTAGGGACACATATTTGAACACCATCCTCAGTCAACGCCTACGTATCTTTAGCTTCTGCGTCGTCCTTTCACGTTGTGGACGTACCTAAATAAGCAATGGAGTTGGGTGGCCATCCTCCCACAGCCAAAAAGCCACATGGCTAAATAAAACCGACGGTCAGTTTTTAAGAAGGCTTAACAACGTATTGAAATGTTAACAATTTTAAAAGCCTACTTGTAAGGTGTATGTATACAAATACATACATACATATGTCAATATTTTACTCATTCTCTTTTAGTATTTATTTTATGCACTTATACAAATTATAAATGTTCAGAAATCAAAACTTTTTAGAAATTCATATAAGTAATTAAATATTAAGAAATTAATAGCAACATTCGATTTCTAGCTGCATACATGTGGCAGTTACCATTTTCAAACACAAGCAATACTTAAAGCGGAATTTTTGGAATATATGTAAATACTTTTAGGGATATTTTAAATACGAAAATTTAGTCAAATGTATATTTACGGTATCATATATGTTATTATTTATTATTATATATTATATATGTATATATATACAAGAGCACCGCATTAGACGGTCATGGTAAGTGAAGCAAAGAAGTTATTTAATGAATCATGTTGATCTGCTCACCGAACCTATTCGTGCAGATCATTGCAACTGAGCGAACGTATATATATATATATATATATATATATATATATGTATATATATTTTATTTTATTATTTTTATTTTTTTGATAGCTAGTAATATTAAAAATAAGATAAACTTCCAGGAAAATGGTTAAAGGTTTATGGTGTATTTACGGTATATTTAAAAAATGAGAAGGTATATCTCGGTATATTTTTAGGAGTCCTGTAGTATTTTTGATCGATAAATCAGCGGTCACACTGAAGAAACGGCCTCGAACAGAAAAAGAAAAAACGGACGCACCGCTCGCAACACTAACGTAAACAACAGAAACAGTGTTGAACCATTGAACATCCATATTAACGCATACATTAACGTACATATGTATATATAAGTAGACATCCCTTCTCTATTCGAAAATCAAAACCACCACCTCATATATTTTCATCTTGCAACAAAGCGTGCGCAATCCAATGAGTCGAAAAAGCCGTCAGCTGTTCAGCAAAAAGTATTTTTAAAAAATAGCTGTAGTCGTATGAAATTGGAGATAAAAGTGCTAATTCAGGACACCGTGTGTGCATTAACATAATTATAATCTGTTCAATTCGTATAACACCCGGGTCGCTGCATTTAGCTGTAGAAGCATGTGTGTGTATCTGTGCGCTGTTAATATGAGCTGCCTGTCATTACTAGTGACGCCTTGGCAAAGATTATAAAAAACAACGCAAATAGCGCATCCAATCAAGAAGTATACGCTAAAATCAATAACACCTAACCGATCAAGTTATATTACGCAAAAACTGCAGCAACACACAAGCAAAATTTCTACATCGCCAATAAGTATGTCGGGGGGAGCTGTTTCGCTGCTGCAACAAGAACAAACGCAAGGATGTGACATCGGTGCCGAAGCCGAGAGCGACACTTTTCTGGTCGTGTGCATGGCACATGGAGTTGATGATAATAGTACGAACCCGGAGAACGGTGGCATCATTGCGACAGATAGTGGGCGTGCCTCGGCGAATGAATTTGATGTCGTTCCTGAGGAACCTGCCACTGCCCTAGAAGAATTACCGGAATTCACAGAAGCTGTGCGAAGCAGCAATGGACCCAAGGGCGAGGTGTACGAAGCCAATTCATTGGCGTTGAACGAAACCGCTACGTAAGTAACGGCACACATGACGTGAACAGGGGAAATGTTAAGGAACAGTTGTCACATAACGATGGTAAAATGTGCTGGCCATACTCTCGAGCAGGCATTATTATTTTCGCGAGTTATTGGTCAATTATCTTCGTGCCGACTCTTGCTTGTTGACTGGGTCTGTTTACTGATTTTATGATTCCCCTCTGTTTGCGTTTACCGATTAAATCAGCCTTGCCGAATTTCCCAAAGACCTGTTGGTGCTGAACCCGGTATTTCTGAGCCCCAGCTTAGCCTTTGCTTCCCTTTTACTCAGTTGGTTTACTATTGTCCTCTTTTTTCCATCAGGCTACGATTTAGATGTGATCGTTTTAATAAATATTCTAACGTTGCTGTTGGGTATGGCTTATTTTTAGACGTACTCGAAAAAAAGTTTATGCGCTGGCAGGGTGCTGTTTGTTTGTATGATTGTAAGTACTTTACGCCCATTTCCACCGCTGCCTGAAAACGTCAAAGGTTGTATGTTCCATTGTGGTACCAAGTGTAGGCCATTCAACCTTCAGTTAAATACGTTTTTTAGTTGCTGTCTTATGTTAACCAGTACAAAAAAAAAATTGACATAATTATGTATTTATTTATACATATGTATGAATGTATCTATATACGTATGCACACATACAATCATACATATATTGCCGTTGCTGCAGCGAGTCCCAGATGCCAGACCGGCATTCCAGGCTGATATAAGAGAATCCCCATTTATGAACAAGAGCTTCGGTCAGTTTCAGTTTTACTTTCACGAGTCTTGTCTTATGCAACGCTCCATGAATAGTACGTAAAAATCTTATGACATTACATTTTTCGCATCTTGCATCGTGGAGATCAACTAATTACTTCGTTCAAGTAATTTTAATTATAATATGAATTAAGGATTTGCTTAAATTTCTAGAGGCATTTCTGAGGCTCTTGGAATATGAAATATTGAAAGACAACATTTTGGTGACTTCTAAGCAGATTACAGTTGGTGTTCTGACTTATCAGCCGTACAGTCTCACTTTTTTGAAGCTGCGTCACTCGATTGCAGGTTGTTGAATCGTATCCACGATATAAACGCCTTCTCCGTACAAGAGACAACACAGACAATATATATAGGGCTGATCATTGTTACGAAATTAGATCGACAAGACTTTGGAACACATCCAATCATTTAAGCAACACTTTCACGCATTGATTAACGTTAGTAAACATGGTTTCTCCTTTAATTGGATCTGTCTGGAGAGGTTTCCGTACTGGTAGGTCAGGAGCACTTGAGTCTTAATACGTTTGCTAGCGTTTGTTTAGTAAAGTTATGTTACAAATGTAAAATCTAAAAACATGCACATATGTACAATGTACTTTGTACAATAAGTAAATTGATGGCTTACAGTGGAAAGTCGTATTGTTGGCCCGAAAGCATATGGTATTAATCAATTGCATTGTGCTCCCTAAAACAGGCTCAAAATGTACATAGCAGCAACATCTGCAGACCATGCGTTTATTTGGGCAGGGCTAACTAGCAAGAACAAACTTCATTAAAGAGCAGCAAACAGCCTACAAACATAAAAGCTATCAAGCCTCAATTCTCCAAGTGTAAATAAGGCATTAGGACTAAAAATACAATGAAATGAGTCGTCACTGCCCCAACAGTATGGCGGGAAGTTCCCGCCGGGAACACAATTATTTTGTGCCCTTCTCTTTTGGGAAGTGAGAAAAAAACACTTTTTTGGAAATTTAAAATGCGTTTACTACAGTCCTGGCTATAGCAATGCGTTGGCGTAAGTGTCTAGGTAGAGACAAAAATGGAACAAGGCTAATGGCTAAAATTAATTAATATTTTTTACTATATGGTTAGTACACGCCCTGGGTAAGGTCATTAAGAATATCTCCTTTGCTAATTAGATACCTTCGTTACTATTATTATTCAGCCTCATCTCTGGATGCCTTCATTATTCTCTCCTTCCTCGAGAAACTGTGAAGCAGCTTCCGTAGGCATCACCATTAAACATTTTTGCCATGTTTTGGGATATAATTAGTTGTTTTAGTTGTCCAAATTTAATTCTGTTATCCGACACCTTATCCTCGTTTGCGGAAATGATAAAAGCAACAAGAAGGGACGTGTGAGACGCTTCTTACGCGTCACAACTTTTATACCCGGCACTCAGTACTACATCTGCACCTTAGCGGTGTTTTGTCAAATTTTAAATATTTTCTTCATCTATCATCTAAATCTACAACACTTCTCACACTAACACGATCCGTTAGCTCGCCGCCCTTCCCTAGACCCACACACTGCAGACTCGCGGCAGAGGCAGCGCCCGCACACAAAAAAAACTAATATAAGCTGCGGGAATGGGTGGGTTAAAAGTCGGCAGAGGCAGAGGCCGAGTGAAGCAGAAGCAGAGTGTGAATGAGAGAATGTGAAAAGAACAACAAAAGCTGCGGGCCAGCCTGTTTGGCCACTGCAAATTAATTTATTCATTCTGGCTATAATAATGATCCAATCGGATCCCAATTTGGTGATCGGATAGATAGGGCCATTCCCTACGGAATGGCGTTTTTTTCAAAAACTTATTTTATCTTCAAAATTGTAGATTTGGGAGGTTTTCGTCCTTTTGCAGGGGACGGAAGGGGGCGTGGCTCATTTTTGAAATACACTTGGTGACTACACTTGGTGGTACAAATTTGGTGGCTCTAGCTTTTATGGTATCTGAGATCCAGGCGCTCAACAAGACGGACGGCTGATGCTGATCAAGAATATATATACTTTATGGGGTTGGAAACGTTTCCTTCTGGGTGTTACATACATTCACTTTGTGCACAAATACAATATACCCTATTTACTCTTCGAGTACCGGGTATAAAAACGCAAAAAAAAAGGAAAAATCAAAAATTAATAGGACTAAATACAACATTTCAATTTTAAAACCACAATATCTGTTGTTCTATTGTTTGTTGTGTCTATATAAAGTTTCCTTATCCGTACGAAACTTCTCCTGAGCCAGGAAGACAGGAATTAATAACAATTCTATGTACATGACCATTGTATTGATTCATTGTTTGTACCAAATATCTGAAATCTAGAAATCACAAGATTCTCTCTAAATGTGTGTTTTATGTTTCTTGAGAAGACCATTGGAAAATTGATTTTGTCTAGAATCACGGGAATCATACATGGGTTGTACTCACAAACCGAGTTCGTTGTCTTTATTTAGATTATATTCCCTATTATACTCTCACATATGTATGTATGTTTGTATGTATGTATGTACATAGGAAACGAAGGTAGAAGAGCCGTATAACATTTGGAGCTACAATAAACCATGGAAATTAAAAATAAATTTACGAAACAAAAGAAAACGAGAAGGGACGTGTGAGACGCTTCTTACATGTCACATCTTTTATACCCGGTACTCAGTAGGACATCTGTACCTCAGTTCTTTTATTTTCTTCAAATTTAAAATTGTTTCTACATATGTATGTCATCTACATATACATCACTTCTAACGCCAACACGGCCTTTTAGCTTGTATGACAATCGAAATTCCTCTAGGGAAGAATCTTCTTCTGCTGTTTATAAAGAGAGCGTTCAAGCATGTTCAGCGATGTATGGATCTGTCTAACATGTTAAATCAGATCAGACTCTATTTCTATTTATATTTGCCCTTGATGAACAAACAACCCAGCTGCTTCGCTTACCCCATCCACAGCCACAGTGCATCTGCCATCACTTGTTGTTTGTAGGGCGTTTTTCATATGGCTCTTCGTTATACTCGTACATACTGGCTATTAATGAATCGAGCATTACCCATTACCACGGAACGCATTCATTCCACTTTCGAGATGTTTGTCTTTCTTGTTGGTAATCTTCAAATTTGTATCTTTTTCTGTTAGAAATATAAGGGTATGCACATTTGTGCACTAAATGAGTCTCGCAGTCTTTGCCTACTTTTCGTTCTTGAACTTAAACTAAATAGATGAAGTATGCAGCAGCATGGTTTACATAGTTTTAAGAAAGATTTGGCTAATAAAACATTTACAACCCAAACAGACTTATCAGCGCCCCATAAGAAACTGCCACGAGAGACTGATCTACTCCGTTCGATGGTAGCATTAAATATGGACTTATTTGTAGAACTTTCACTCAAAAGTAATAAAAGGATAATAAGACTCATATAAATGGTAGATGCATTAATATGCATGAATATGTTACAGTCAGATGTGGATATATGAACTTTGTAAGCTGCTAAGTCGAGTTTCTTTCCTTGGAATAGCTTACCACGGTACGGAATGCTGACGCCCCCCCCCCCCCCCCCCTTTCACCTATCTCCTTCCCTCTTACTCGGCAAACAGAGCATGTCGAAGATGGAATAATTGCATGTTGTGTCTTATTAGCAGTGCTAGTACTCCTCCTCTCTTTATCTCCTCCTCCTCTTTATCTTCCACTTCCTAGCGCTTTCTCGATGCATATTAATGTTAATTATACATTCTAAATTCGTAACCTAAACCCACTTCGTCTCACAGAAATGTGCGAATTTCAGTGCGCCAGACGGCTAAGAACACACTCGTATTTTATGTCTATACTTGTATGGCTTTTTTTGAGCGATGGACAGCCCTATCCGACGTTCCTCGTCAAGTTTATTAAAAATAAGGCAGCTTGATGTCATTAGACATTAAAGCGACCTTCTTTTTATGGAAATATGACTCAGTAAACTATAGATGAAGCACTTATGTACAAGATATAACAGCAAACTCCACATGCGGTTTCCTCCGTTCCGATCTATCTATTACTACAATACTTTTGCATAACGCTAGAGAGCCTCTTCCCTTCCTTCGTCGACCATCACCTGCCACCTGCAGTTGTTGGGGAAGTATTAAATTATTTGTTAATTTGACCGCATTACAGCTGGTAGTCGGCCTTATCAGTTCTCAGATTTTTTTTTTTAGCCGACCATTCCTTTTTTTTTGGTTATCTTCTTACATACAATTGTACGACGTGTGCTTTCTGCATTGTACAGGGTATCTAAATATAGATACATATTGCAGGTTCACCTGTTTTGATGTTTGATGCCCTAAAATGAAGATTGTGCGTTGCAAATGCCATGCGAAATGTTAGACACGCTCTCTAAGGTTTTATCTGATAGCAGTTGAGCGCGGTCTCCCCCTACCCTCTGATTCTACTTGTTGCTTTCAACTTTTTCCTTTGTTGTACAGGTAAAATATGAACAACACCGACCCTGCGTTACTCTGTACAGGCCTACCTGTTCTGTCGGATTGCAACAATAATTTGCTTTGAGTCCTAGGAACAGGTTTGAATGTAAGCTGCACGTCCAGTTGGCGATTTCAGCTGCCTTAACCAACCCCATGCCTTACACTTTGAACTTCACCTAGTTAAACATCGTTTTCTCCACTTCCGCAAAATCTCAGCACCTGCGACCATAAACCAGCAGACCCTAAACACTTTAAATGCACGTACACATCCTGTTTTTCATTTCCAAATAACGATTCAGGGAGTATTTTGAAGAGGCGCCTGTTGTATTTCCGGTTACGTATTAACTTTCAGTATTCAATGATTTCCACATTTGTGGCGGAGGGATAGCTAACATAAGCCTAGATTTTCAGTTTAGGGGGCAAATAGAATTTAATCGCGAGGGTAAGAATTAAAGAATTCTCCTTTCATTTTTGAGCACAGCTCAGTTCTCTTTAGATCCGTGATGGATCTCGTCTCCCTTAAATATATTTCCCTATTGTTTGCCACACGCCAAATTGAGAGATGGAGAGAACCGTCGCTGAGAGGACTAGGAACCGGTTTCCTGCCAGCGTCGGCAGATGTTTTTACGCCAGGGAAGCATCCACCATCCACCAATGACACTGAAACGTATGCTCATTCTCATGAATGGTACGATTCCTTCCCTTATTTTACTCGGCCTGCAGGGGTGCACTCGGACCGGTATGAAGATCGATTTTGGGATCAGTCTGGCTCTGTACGACGAACCGATCACACACGCGCTCATAGGAAACTCTTTGCCGCGGCAGGGATATAGTGTAGAATTCGATGCCAGAGGCAAGAACGACCATTGGTTAAAGCTGCTATCGAAATACCTTTCAAAATAAGTTTAAAATATTTGATTATGGTTACATATCACGTGCGGTCTGCCCTAACTCAGTTTAGTGTTTTGCAAATTAAATCACCGGGTGAAGTCTCTAGAACTCAAGTAAAACGAACAACTGCTGCGACAGCTATAAAGCGCAACAAAGTTTCCTATATAGGAATCAACCTAAACTTGAAGCCCACCATGAAGAAGCAAATACCAAGACAAGGGACAAAGTCAGCGGCAGTTTCGCAGCACGAAACGCCCAGAAAATCAAATTTTTGCGTGGAAGACCGAAGTTTCAAGTTATTACAACGGTGAGACACACCCCTGGGAGAAGCTGTGAAGGTTATAGGTTATTGTGGATGGAGCAGGGTGAAGACAGGGACACAGCATTTCTGCAGCTGCTCTGAGTTTGGGCTTACATTGAATTGACCTCCAATTAATTGTCAACCAGACTCAATCAGTCTTTAAACTGTACATTAAAGAGAACGTTATATAGAGACAACATATCTGTGTCCTCGAAGACGGAACGCTGCAAGTCCGCAGCCTACAAAGACAGCATTCCTTCACGCATTGCAGATTTAATACGTTTTTGTTTTCTGGTCTGGCTTCATTATTCATTTAAAGAAACGCAAGTGAGTCCAGAGGAAAGAGAACTGAGAAAATAAAAGGAGATCCTAAACCACAGCAGGCGCTCTTTTATATCTCTTTCTTCATTCTCCTCTTTTTGTGTGCGAACATGTCCTGTTGATTCCTAATATCTCCGAATTTCCATGGTCCTTTCTCACCCATTCTTGGCCGTTTGCCTGATTGTTTTCTTTGTGTGGCAGTAATTCTCAGAATTGAGAATTTTTGCTAACAATACGCATTCGGAAATAGAGAAAGAAAATTGGCAAAGTTTACTCTTGGGTTTATGAAAGTATGACATCCTTTTTGAACACCCTTTCCTCCGCTTTAAACTGTGCCTGCACTCAGCCCGTTGCACCTTGAACTGCCTTATTTTCGCGATACCTTACCCTTACCCTCAGAATCGTAACCTTATGTCACACTTGAACTGCCACGTCCTTCTATGAATTTTTCAAATGAGTCTGCACCCTTTGCCGAGGACTAATGAGAAATTAGAAAGCTTATATGAGTATTTCTACTGCGAGGTCATCCTACCTGTTTCGCTTTACAGCCCGCCTTATAAACTACTATTGTTAGCGCTCAATTTTACATAATCCTCCACGGGGTACGGTTACAGCTACTGTGCAATTGTTTGCAGAAATGTTCCTCAGTCTAAACTGTTGAGTTTGTATCCATTACAGCATGCCAAAAACTGGAAATCGAGGAGTCAAAGTAGTAGGAAAAGGGATCAGCAACAATACCTTTGCAGGAGGACTGGTAAGTTTTATTTACCTTGAGTTACTATTTTATTTATTTTTGTGTAAGAAAATTCTTTGAAAAACAACTTAATAATAGATTTGATGTAGGGAAAACCGGTAGACGCTTACAAGATTACTTATGAGATTTTGAAAATAGGCTCCACTAAGTGGTGACACACGGATACTTGTTTAGAAATATCTATTTACATACAAATAGAAGTACGAGTAGACGTAAATATAGTCTTCTCTTGTGAGAGCGACAGTTTGCCCGTTTATTACCCCCTGTAGAATTGAAGCAGTTCTGTGGATCTTCCTCATACACTTTATGTTTATATATACCAAAAGCTGCTGAAAATATCGTACATTTTAAAAAACTTTGTAGATAACGCTTTGGATAATAAAACTCATTTTTATGAACTACTCAAAGTTGAGCGGGAAGGAAACATCTGAACATCTGTGAGATACTTTTAAATGCACCCTAACCATCGGCACTACTTACAGGAAGGGTTCACGCAACGGAAAGAGTTCATTAAACTACTTGCATAGCTTTCTTACATACCCATACGACTTTTATATAAGAAGATCTCATGGCAACCATTCAATTCCGCCGACCGCAAAGCATGTCTAATGCATCGTTGGCAAGACACACAGGAGGAGGACTTTCTTAAGACTTCACAGTGAATTGAGTAACATTTCCACTTTGGGGTTGACGTGCCAACAGAGCAGCCAAAGAGCTCGCGCAGCCCATGAAACTTACTAAAGACTGCGAATATGAACCCTGAAATATGATCCCAGAAAGCAGTTGAAAGTCACAGTGAAAATCACAATCAAATCGAATCCATTGAGTTTAATGATTGATGAGTGGTCATAATGTGCGCCTACAAGTATAAGGATACTATGTAGTGCAAGCACATGCTTCTTTTTAAATCTTTGTATAATTTTTTTAAATCAACACAGGACAGAACCCAAGATTGCCGTCGAGCATCCGCATTAAGTGCTTAGTCCCAAGCCGCCTTTTCTCGTCTGTTTACTTTCGCCGTCGAGGGAGTTCATTGCGCTCATAAATTTAAAGCTATAAATGTTTTTCTGCTAAACAACAAAGGGCCAAGTGCCTGTTTGTGTGTGTTATTTGTGACATTAGACTTAACGTGTGAATTGCTCAATGTTCCTAAGCGATTTAAAGCAGAAACAGCGCAGTTCCTTTCCTTTTTCTCCTTACATAAAATCGGAAATTTTTTTTGAGTTTCTTGTGATTTTTTTGTAAACATGAAAATATATCTACCATCAGCCTTTATTCTGAAGCAGATGCAGAGATAAGTGTATGATAATTCGTTGCATTGGGAGACATGCTGTGATTAATCTTTTACAACTCTCTTGAACTCTGATAACTCTGCCTGAATCTCCAAATGCACTTTTAGGTTCAACAACACAAAAGGTCATATGCATACATATGTACATATGTGTGCATAAAGAAACGCATTTTCTGCAATTAATGACGTTTCTTTGGCATTAGAGAGATGTGTTCAATGTGCAGACACACACAAAAGCGAAAAGTAAATTAATTTAATCCTACTGTTGGATAGATACCACCGCCCATGTCTCTAAAGAGTTTGATTTTGAAAGAAAAAATTTAATTAGGAAAGGCCGCAACTTTCACCCATAATCCTGCCATTGTCGCAGCGTCACTGCAGCATGAGCAGGGGATGGCATGCAGTAGCAAAAACCAATCTTGCGAGACAATGAAGAATGTCTGCAGTTTGACAATGGCCAAGGTATCTGCAATAGCCAGCGCAGAAGCGAGGTCACCGACAACAGGACTCATCACCATCTCCAGCCAGTCCGTTCAGCATAGCCCGAACAATGCCAGCAAGATATCCATTAAGTGTCATCCTCCATGCGGCTCGTGCCATGCAATTCCTGCGCTAATCTAATCAAAACACTGCAGTCCAGACTCCAGACTGCATACTGCAGAAGTCAAGTCTAGGCCACACAATGGTAATGGCAGATAGAGCCGATCCCAATGCTTTATGTTCATTAATGATATCTTCCAATACAATGAGCCGCACTTCCACAATCGACTGTCCGACACACAACGACAGAAGCACACTTCAATATATAGCGTGTGCAAGTATTACTGCCGACAATTGCTGGCAATCAGTTATTATATTTCGCTTCGCCCGGTTACACCTGATTGCGATTCTCGCGGACGCACCGCTTGGTGTGGAACAGAACTGGGTCCGGTCCGGGCAGAGCACAACGGCGATTCAGAGAGCAGACTGAATCTGTCCGAATGAGAAAGTACTATGAAGAAGCTAATGATACCAACGCTTATGGACACTTATGGACTCATAAAGTTTTGGGATTTCGACACTGGCGCCCCGGCCGATGTATCGCAATCCCCCAGACAAGTGCCTAAATGCGATACCATGCTCAACGAGCAGCGCTACAAGTGGAGACCTCGCCTCCTCCAGGTCAGCCGGACCGTGTCCGCCCTTCTTATCGAAAATTAATATTAAAGTGTTGACTCTTGAGTGTGTCTGTTTTACTGATGTCTGTGTTGGTGTTGGTGTTTGAGCATACTGATTGTAAACCGGAAAGTAAAACTAGATAAAAATTTAATTCCAGTACGTGGAAAAAGTTTCTACACAGAAATATAAATTTTTTCATTGATTCTGTTCGATTTTGAACCGAAACCTCCTGCCTGATCCTAGCAACAACGGTTTACTGAGTTCACTTATTGGAAATTAAAAAATAACAATAGCTACATAATCAGCTACATATGTACATATATTTCGTCAGAGATGTCAACATCGATAAGGTAGCCGGGTTCCATTGAAATTCTTGTGATATTACACATAGCCAGCCGCAGAGAAGCGATAGCTAGTGTCGTATCATTGTTTCTATAAAAAAATAACCCGTAACGTAACCAGTACGCGGTCATAAACAAAGCTGCGGAGTAAAAACATTTTTGTGGTTTCGGTTGTTATTGCTGCATAAGCTCTAAGAGCATCTTAGCAGTCTCAGAACTATTAGTTGCCTCCTTCTAATTTTATAATGTTAATCCTTGTATTTCTCTTGTAGTCGCAGCAGATTCGAGCCGTCTCAAGTCCGTCGCTCACAGAACCATATTCAGAGTCACGAAAGCTGCCGGTTGAGAGCACGACATCAGCAGACGGGTCTTCCACTGTTGCCACAATCACAAGTAGTGGAAGCGGAGGTGGCGGTGTAGGCCTAGGCGTCCTTCTAAAGTTTAAACGCACGTTTAACAATTTCAACAACAAGAATCAGTTGCACATCACCCCTGCCTTGCCAACGTCAGCAGCCAGCAATGGCAATCCCCCAAAGTCGAAGTCATCGCCAACAACGCCATCCGTATCAATCACAACAGCAGGGACAGAGACAACAAGTGACTGTGCTGGAACAGACGGCGGTGATGGTAGCTCCGGCAAGTATCGCTTTGGACCCCTCATCTGGCGCACATCGAGGGAGCGCCGCAAAACAAAGTTTAATCGACGCGACAAGTGCAATTCGGGTGATTCCGGCATTCAGATAGAGCTGGAGCATGACGAGCAATATTCCCGTGTTCTGGCGTTGGGTGCCCAAGGAGAAGGGGTAAGACAAGGAGAAGGAGGAACAATTGCTTCCGGCAACACATCCATCGGAAGTGAATCTAAGACGCGTTCAATACGCCGCACTAATTCGGCCAAGGCCAGCAGCATTCTCGGATCCGTCGCCCTAATATCTAAGAACCACATGCAGCTGGACTTTGGCGGCACGGACAATATCGAACGTGAAGCCCCCGAGTCACTGCCCACTCGATCACTTAGCCAGCCCAACGGACTAGAAGCCTACGGCATTGGGTACCCTGATATTTCAGACAGCGACAGTGACAGCATTGCATCCCACGAGGAAGGTTTGTGTTAACTCAAAACTGAAATTAATGCTTCCTTTCTGTAACGCACCTATGAATATGGTTTTTTTCTTGGCCCACAGCTACCAGCTACTACCCAACGATCTATGCTGAAGTGCTGTACAATTTTACTGCCGGCGGCCCTCAGGAATTGGGGTTGGAACGCGGAATGCTTATTGAAATATTGCGCAAGGAAGTTGGACCCTGGTGGTTTGGCCGCATAAAGAAGGAGGAGACTAACCGCGTGGATGAGATACTTGACCCCGAACTGGGCTGGTTCCCAAAGGAGTTCGTGCGTATTATTCAATGTCCCGAGACGGATCGATTTTTCAACGCGCATCAAGCAGCATCAGAGGCAAAGCAGGCCTCGACAACTGCCGGGGAGGTCGGAGATAGCGTGCCTGTGCCCGTAGCTGACTTTCCCAAGGACGCAGATGTCACCATGGCCACGGATCAAAGCAACATTACGACCATAGTCATTGAAGCTCCACCATTGTCCTCGAACGGGGTTTTCACTCTGGAAAACGAGACTGTCCTGCGCCGAGGTGCTGTACGCGAGCTGCTGGATACAGAGGTTAACTATGTCAAATTGCTGGAAGCCATTTGTGACGGGTAAGTGCACATCCCGTGTGAGCGTTTTGTCATTCAGTGGTAACATTGTCCCCCTAACCCGTCATAGGTACCTGCCTGCGATGAGCAAGCGCATCGACATATTTTCGCCAAACAGCATTCGTCTGATCTTCTCAAACATAACGGCCATCTACAAGTTTCAGGCCAAATTTCTCGATTCATTGCGTAAAGGAATTGAGCAAAACCAAATTGCGAAAGTGTTTCTTAAAATGGTGAGTGCATTTCGGAGAATCCCATGTCATTTATCGAAATTTTGTTCTTTGCACCTCCTCAAACAGCACAAAGGATTCCTATGCTACTCCAACTACTGCAACGCATATCCTCGTGCCCTTATCGAGCTCGAGTCCTACGATCGTGTTAAGGATGCACGCACCATTCTGGAGAAGTAAGTTTATCGGGATAGTGTTTGTAAAAGACGGACCTAAAATAGTTTATTGCCTTTCCAGCTGCCGCGAGTCGGAAAACCTTGCAGAGCTCCCACTCTCCGCTCACTTGCTTGCTCCCGTGCAACGCATTTGCCGTTATCCCCTGCACCTAAACGAGATTATTAAGTCAGCGTTGGCTTCTGCCCCTGAGACGGGAATTGATAAACTAAAAGGTTCCTCGTCTTCAGACTACGAACAACTCGACGTCAATGAGATGGACATACCCGACACGTACGATACCGTAAATTTGGCGCTGGAGGCCATGCGCGGAATAACAGAGGCCGTAAATGAGGGAAAACGCCATAGCGAGACTATTGCGAGGCACCAGGCCAGCTTTCAGAACTTCAAGGGCCCGCCACTGCACTTTCACAGTGCACGCTTCTTTCTACAGGTCGATGCCACACGACAGAAGCAGAATCTGTGGAATAGCAGCTACACCCTGTTCTTATTCGACAATCAGTTGGTCTATTGCAAGCGCGACATCATTAAACGCAGCCACTTTATCTACAAAGGACGTATATTTTTCGACCGCTGTCGGGTTGTTAACGTACGAGATGGAAAGATGTTTGGGCACACGATCAAGAACTCGCTGCGGATATACTGCGAATCGCGGGATAAGTGGTATGACTTCAGCTTCCGCTCGGCGAACCGCAAGCACCGCTTCCTCAACACCCTCGCCCTTGAGCGCCAGTTCGGAGGCAAGGCACTCCACGTATCAGAGATGACAGGGTTCGAGTACACCTACGAGGAGCGGCCGGGTGACTTTTCAGATCAGTCGGACTACGAGTTGGCCGACTTCGAGCACGCCCTGTGTGCCACATCAGCTAGTGGGGAAAGTTCCTTTCCGGAATCGCCGGCCAAGTCAGCCTCCCGGTTTTGCGACACTTTGCCGAAAAAATCGCAATCCCGGGATGGTATCGCCAGCGTGGACAACTCGCAGATGCTGTCGACGACAACATCAACGGGTTCCCTAGGACGACGCCGCATCGGCAACTGGTTCCGCAAACCAAAGAGCTCCAACTGTACGCCAAGCCAATCGCCAACGCACAAGCCAGTCTTTGACGCAGATGAGACTCTCACAGCGGCCCGTGTCGCTGCTATCGAGCTGGCCGATTCCGCCGCTGCGCTGTTGCCAACGGATAGTTCATTCGCCTAAGCACAAGGAATATCATAATACATAAACATTGATATACGCATCCAGTCCTATACTTAAATACACACAAATGTATGTATACAGAATTGGCAATATACCAATTGAAAAATGTAAACGAAAGAGAGTTACAGTTATGTTTTGTTTTTTTGTAAATGTCGTTTCAATCAATAAAGTGTCTGTTAAAGGGTTTTAGACGGCATAAAGATAAACGTGGCAATAAGTTAAATATGTATTTAGATATTTAGATTTACCAAAAGCACTTATAGTGTATACTTCTGGCATTTGAATTCAGCTTTCTATAAAAGTGCTAGCTGGTGTCGTCGACTGCTAGTCTAAAAACCCTATTACCATTTAATTCTAATTTACGTGACAAGGCGATAATGAATTCCTGGAAATAAATAAATGTTTTAGAACCTTCTGTTCATGTATTCTAGTTCGCTTAGAGACTTCCACAATCCATTCAATCTGAATAGACAAATACCCACAGCATCAATATAGATATACTCGTAAATTGCATAGAGATAATATTAACAAGTACTCAGTACACCCTAACTAGAACGTGTGTACTTAATATATTTTGAAAATATGGTACCAAAAATACACGAACCTTGGAATTTGTTATTGTTTTTGTTAGGCCAGACTCAGCCCAGTTCCTGGCATGTATGAGTATTTAAATTGCGTAATTCCAATAGAAAAGCTTACCCTACATAAAAGAAAACACACATTCACAAAAGGAGAGAACTTTGTGCATAGGAACATTACAATATTGATATGAACTATGAACTTGTCATTAAATAAATAAATTGATACAAATGAGTTTTGTATTATATGGAAATTGATTGTCAATTTAAACACAAAACGCAACAAGCACACTGAAACAAAAAAATTGAGCGAATTTAATTTTTTCTAAAGAGACGTAATGTATCCCATCCCCCTTAGTATTTATGTAACTTAACGTCTAACAATTGTCAAGAATTAGTTAATTATTGACATTATAGGTTAATCAAAAATTATAAATTCAATAAGCAATTGACTATTTAATAGATATGTATTGCAGAGAAACATATTGGTTTACTCAAAACTCCAAAACGGACACTAAAACACTATACCAAACCATATAACACATTTTAGTACTGAACGTACACACCCAAGCGAAGTGAAACTAAATTGCAAGGTGCATTGGGAAAAGATGAAAGGGAATTTACTCACAAATCGAATATTTTCACAGTAAAATACCACTCCACCTTCAAGAACAAAAATGTGGATAACTTTACAGTTATTTTCCAAAGATGGCCGACGCCGGGCGAGACATCGCGTTCCACTGCAATATAATGAACAAGTGTGCTATTTAGTTATTCGTCGCTTCTTGCGTGTTTCATTTTATTATGATAAATACATGATAATAAATAAATCTAAAAGTATACATGTATACATACGCAGCCATATTTCTAGAATTAGAATTGTACATATGTACAAACATTGGCAACGTTGAATGTGGTGCACTTGGTATTGACTGAGCAATTTATATTATAAAGAACATATTTCAAATTCATAACAAACTGCACTTGTAGTTTTAACCGGTAAGAACACAGCCGTATACACTTAGCAACCGAACATGTTCTATCGCCAAAAAAATAAATGTATATTTGTTTAAAAGAACACAACCTTTTCACTTCACTGAATTGTTCCGTTATATTGACGACATTTTCCGTATCGAAAAAGAAAGCATTTTGCAGAACTGGGCAGTACACGATGCCATCGATGTATCGATAATGAAAAAATAAGTCAAAAATCTAGCCATTGAGCGAACCGCCCCATCCACAAAATCACATTCAAATAAACGAATATAATGGCTTGACGGACAAAATACATACATTGCGAAAATAAGTGGTACCGATGATATAATAATACTCCGCAATTCTTGGGGCTGCGAAATGCATCGGGTAGTACAAATCCACTCCATTACTGGAAGCACAATAATATTGAGTTTTTTAAATTGTATAGCAGCACTTAATCTGTTTGTTTTTGTAAATATTTACATATTCTTCGATGAAAATATCGATATATTAACTAGCAGCCCTGGGGCACTAACCAAATATACTATTATAAATATACTTCAACTATCTTCGACCATCTACAAAAAAACATTTTTTTTCATAAGAAATCATTTTTTAGGGTACTTCTTTTAGTTTAAACTATTAAATATAACGGTAAAAGCACATTCAAATTAGTTTTTAATTCCATTATACCTCCTGAGTAAAAATTACCGAAAAGTATTGAGTACCAAAAGTACCGTTACATTCACACATCATTTTCATAAAAATATTCAATATATCAATTAAGCTTACTGATGGTAGCATTTTTGAATTGATTTAAATTATTTTTTTAATAATTGCACCCAGCACTACTATTTTAGTGAACAGCAGTTTTCATGGGTACTTTTCTAAAGTCATGTAAAACAAGACGATGGAATGCAAGTGTTCCAGAATTCTTTCTGAGTTATAATGTGTACTTTTGAGGTTTTCCAACAAGGTATAACTTGTTCAATTGTAAAGACTGGAAGGGTGTCAAAAATAGTGCTGAAAATTGTGAAGCGCGGCACTACTATTTTATTGAACACAACTGTATGTATGTACATACATAACTTTCATATTTATCTACGAAGCCGGTTGGCTAGCAATCCGAACATACATACATATGTACATATATTTTATACCGTACATATTGCAATCATTGCATACTGAACTTTTATGCATTGGCCCGGTTTCTTTAAACCTTATTTCCTGCAAAACTAAATAAAGGAAGGTCCATAAAACTAGCAACCATTATAGAAAATTTATAAATCTATCCGATAAAATTATATGATTTGTCCTGGGAGTCCTGGCTAGCTGGTAATATTAATAGGAATATCGATAGTTATGACTTCCTATCAAGAAAAATTCCGACTGCAAAAATACCGTACATTGCCGTTGGCCCTTTTGCTTAAACCATATTTCTAAAACAACCCAGCAAAAAAGAAATCTTTAAAATAAGCCGCCACTATAGAAAAATGATTTATCTTTCTGTTCAAATTATATGCTCAGCCCTTAGAGTCCTGGGAAGCCAGGATTATTAAACACAAATTCAAAATCGAGGAATATGCCTTATTTTCAACAAAAAGTTGTTAGTTTATTAGTTTAAACATTATTTTACAAAAAAAATAAAGAAACCCAATTATATAAAAAACTGACTTATCAGTTGGACATAAATTCCCTATATATTTCTGAAGCCTGTTGGCCAGCAATCCGATCATATGTACATATGTACATATATTTTATACCGTACACATTTCATTCATTGCATACTGAACTATTATGCATTGGCCCGGTTTCTTTAAACCTTGTTTCCTGCAAAACCAAATACATGAGGGTCCATAAAACTAGCAACCCTTATATAAAAATTGATTAATCTATCCGATAAAATTATATGATTTGTCCTGGGAGTTCTGGCTAGCTGGTAATATTAATAGGAATCTCAAAATCGATAGTTATGACTTCCTATCAAGAAAAATTCCGACTGCAAAAAATACCGTACATTTGCATTGGCCCCTTTTGTTTAAACATTATTTCTAAAACCACCCAGCAAAGAAGAAATCCTTAAAAAAGGCCGCCATTATAGGAAAATTATTAATCTTTCTGTTCAAATTATATGTTCAGCCCTTCGTGTTCTGGGTTGCCAGTAATATTGAACTGAAAATTATAATCGAGGAATATGACTTCTAATCAACAAAAAATTGTTAGTTTATTTGTTTACACATTATTTTCAAAAAATAAAGAAAGAAAACCAATTATATTAAAAACTGATCAGTTNCAAAGAAGAAATCCTTAAAAAAGGCCGCCATTATAGGAAAATTATTAATCTTTCTGTTCAAATTATATGTTCAGCCCTTCGTGTTCTGGGTTGCCAGTAATATTGAACTGAAAATTATAATCGAGGAATATGACTTCTAATCAACAAAAAATTGTTAGTTTATTTGTTTACACATTATTTTCAAAAAATAAAGAAAGAAAACCAATTATATTAAAAACTGACTTATCAGTTGGACATAACTTCCATATTTATCTCTGAAGCCGGTTGGCCAGAAATCCAAACATACATACATAATTTTATACCATACATTTTGCATTCATTGCATACATTTTATGCATTGACCCGGTTTCTTTAAACCATATTTCCTACAAAACCAAATAAAAGAGGGTCCATAAAACTAGCAACCCTTATAGAAAATTGATTAATCTATCCGATAAAATTATATGATTTGTCCTGGGAGTTCTGGCTAGCTGGTAATATTAATAGGAATCTCAAAATCGATAGTTATGACTTCCTATCAAGAAAAATTCCGACTGCAAAAAATACCGTACATTTGCATTGGCCCCTTTTGTTTAAACATTATTTCTAAAACCACCCAGCAAAGAAGAAATCCTTAAAAAAGGCCGCCATTATAGGAAAATTATTAATCTTTCTGTTCAAATTATATGTTCAGCCCTTAGTGTTCTGGGTTGCCAGTAATATTGAACTGAAAATTAGAATCGAGGAATATGACTTCTAATCAACAAAAAATTGTTAGTTTATTTGTTTACACATTATTTTCAAAAAATAAAGAAAGAAAACCAATTATATTAAAAACTGACTTATCAGTTGGACATAACTTCCATATTTATCTCTGAAGCCGGTTGGCCAGAAATCCAAACATACATACATAATTTTATACCATACATTTTGCATTCATTGCATACATTTTATGCATTGACCCGGTTTCTTTAAACCATATTTCCTACAAAACCAAATAAAAGAGGGTCCATAAAACTAGCAACCCTTATAGAAAATTGATTAATCTATCCGATAAAATTATATGATTTGTCCAGGGAGTCTGGCTAGCTGGTAATATTAAACAGTATCACAAAATCAATAAATAAGACTTCCTTTCAACAAAAATTCCGACTGCTAAAAATACCGTACATTTGCATTGGCCCCTTTTGTTTAAACATTATTTCTAAAACCACCCAGCAAAGAAGAAATCCTTAAAAAAGGCCGCCAGTATAGGAAAATTATTAATCTTTCTGTTCAAATTATATGTTCAGCCCTTCGTGTTCTGGGTTGCCAGTAATATTGAACTGAAAATTATAATCGAGGAATATGACTTCTAATCAACAAAAAATTGTTAGTTTATTTGTTTACACATTATTTTCAAAAAATAAAGAAAGAAAACCAATTATATTAAAAACTGACTTATCAGTTGGACATAACTTCCATATTTATCTCTGAAGCCGGTTGGCCAGAAATCCCAACATACATACATAATTTTATACCATACATTTTGCATTCATTGCATACATTTTATGCATTGACCCGGTTTCTTTAAACCATATTTCCTACAAAACCAAATAAAAGAGGGTCCATAAAACTAGCAACCCTTATAGAAAATTGATTAATCTATCCGATAAAATTATATGATTTGTCCAGGGAGTCTGGCTAGCTGGTAATATTAAACAGAATCTCATAATCAATAAATAAGACTTCCTTTCAACAAAAATTCAGACTGCTAAAAATACCGTACATTGACACTGGCGCTTTTTGTTTAAACCATATTTCCAAGACAACCCAGCAAAGAAGAAATCCTTAAAAAAGGCCGCCATTATAGAAAAATTATTAACCTTTCTGTTCAAATTCTATGTTCAGCCTTTAGAGTCCTGGGAAGCCAGGATTATAAAACACAAATTCAAAATCGAGGAAAATGACTTATTTTCAACAAAAAGTTGTTAGTTTATTAGTTTAAACATTATTTTCAAAAAAAAAAGAAAGAAACCCAATTATATAAAAAACTGACTTATCAGTTGGACATAACTTCCCTATATATTTCTGAAGCCGGTTGGCCAGCAATCCGATCTTATGTACATATGTGCATATATTTTATACCGTACATATTTCATTCATTGCATACTGAACTATTATGCATTGGCCCGGTTTCTTTAAACCTTGTTTCCTGCAAAACCAAATACATGAGGGTCCATAAAACTAGCAACCCTTATATAAAAATTGATTAATCTATCCGATAAAATTATATGATTTGTCCAGGGAGTCTGGCTAGCTGGTAATATTAAACAGAATCTCAAAATCAATAAATAAGACTTCCTTTCAACAAAAATTCCGACTGCTAAAAATACCGTACATTTGCATTGGCCCCTTTTGTTTAAACATTATTTCTAAAACCACCCAGCAAAGAAGAAATCCTTAAAAAAGGCCGCCATTATAGGAAAATTATTAATCTTTCTGTTCAAATTATATGTTCAGCCCTTAGTGTTCTGGGTTGCCAGTAATATTGAACTNTACATATGTGCATATATTTTATACCGTACATATTTCATTCATTGCATACTGAACTATTATGCATTGGCCCGGTTTCTTTAAACCTTGTTTCCTGCAAAACCAAATACATGAGGGTCCATAAAACTAGCAACCCTTATATAAAAATTGATTAATCTATCCGATAAAATTATATGATTTGTCCTGGGAGTTCTGGCTAGCTAGTAATATTAATAGGAATCTCACAATCGATAGTTATGACTTCCTATCAAGAAAAATTCCGACTGCAAAAAATACCGTACATTTGCATTGGCCCCTTTTGTTTAAACATTATTTCTAAAACCACCCAGCAAAG